GAAGGAGCACCTTTGTCCTCAATATTCTGAATCTGACTGAAAGTTCTCTGGTCGAATATCAACATTCTAAATACATATTTTTTTTAATTTTCCCACTCATATCCTAATTTACAGGAAAGCCAAAATGTGTTCCAAAGTCTACAGACAAATGTCCTAGGTGTGGAGTGAACATTGTTGGCTGTTACCCATAATCACTTTTGTCCTTCCTAAAGGGACCCAGGTTTTATTCTGTATCCCATCTTCCCTCATGCAACTCAAGTGCCCCAAAGCAAGACAACTCTAACTCCTGGCTCCAAAGCATGAGACATGGTTCTCAGCTGGCAGTGATATTGTCCTCCCATGGACATTTGGTAATACCTGTGCATATTTTTTATTGTAACAACTAGTGGGGAAGCTTCTATTGGGTAGAGGCCAGGAACAGTACTAAACATCCTGCCATGCAGAGGACAGCCCCCACAACAAAGACTTATCCAACCCCAAATGCCAATAGTTCTGAAGTAGAGAAACCCTAGTCTAAGGTTAATAGTGTCCACCTCACCAGGGACTGATTTAAGAAGACTTTGACCAAATTAAGGATACTAAGATGTAAAGTAAAGTTGGGTCGGGGCATCTCATTGGGATTCTCTTGGTGGAGGTGTTGTGTCTCTTCATTAGCCTTATTTATAACCAGCCACATTTCACCTGCTATCAGCATGATGTTAAGGAGAGCCTGTACATCTGCCCAGTTTAGATGATGAATAGCAAAAATTGGAATGATAAAATCTGCCCAATTTCTGAGGCTCCTCTCTGTGTAAGGGGTTGGAATTTTTCTAATTCAGTAAGTCTGAAATAGAAAACAGAGTATGGGCCCAATAGTGATCAGTGGGCTGGCCTTCCTGATTTACTCCACTTATAGGATATTGCCTCAAAGGGAACTGTCTTGCTCTGAATAGGGATGTTGGCTTGCCAAATTGGGTGCCCTGATGGGTCTTTGAGAGGGAGACCCTTCCCTCATCACACAGGGGTGGGGCCATTGGCTCTCTGGACCCTATTTCAGGAGTATTTAGCAGTGGGGTTGGTGACTGGGGAAGTCCTCCTGCTACTAATCCTGTGTCCCCTGGGTTCAGGGCATTAATGAGATTTATTTCATTTTCCTTCTCTTCCTGTGTCTTACTACCAGGGAGGAGTTTTGAGGCCACTTCACTTCTCTGCACCATCAGGAGGTTTTCTGCCCCTGGTGAAACCCTGTTAAGTAATGATATACATGCCTTGACATAGCAGATTTCATTCCATTGTCTCACCAATGGCAATACAGATCCAACTGCATGATGGTACAGTAATTTAGGAAACAATTTAGTGGCCATTCCCTCCCCCCTCCAATTCTAAAGTATATGTAGGCCACCCAGTATTACAATAAAGAACTAATTCCTCCTTAGACATTGGATCATGGCTGTACACAACCCAGTTCACTAAAATTCTACCTGGTAGGCTCCCTTCCAGGAGCCAACACAGAACAGCCCTATTGGTTCAGACATACAGGCCTAAAGCTACGACCAGAAAGATGCAGGCAAACTGGAAACATAGAAGGGAAACTCATTATTCCAAACGAGTGCTCACAACCAAGCCTTCTACAAACTGATCTTGCAATGGCCCCCCCAAATTCAGCCAGTCCTCACCCAGACCCCGGTTCATGGCCCCCAAAACTGGGTGATCCTCACCCCTTCTTAGAGTCTGTCTCCTTTCCAGTTTTGTTTCCTTCCACCTGCCAGGTGTTTTTAGGCAGCCAGCGCCTCAAGCAGACATACTGAGAAACTCCCAGACATTGGGAAATTCCACAGTCCCATCTGGGTTGCCATTGCTGTTACCAAACAGTAAGTGGGGTCCTGGTGCCTGCTGCCACCCTCTAGGCAAAATCCTGAAGGCGGAGGTTTGGTGAAAAAGGAAAGGAGCCTTTATTCAAAAGCTACATAATTTTGGAATAACAGCTTTCCACAGGCACTAATCACTTAAGCCTATCAACTAAGGCTAAAGTCTGTTTTTAAAGATTTCATCTATTTATTTTTAGAGAAAAGGGAAGGGAGGAAAAAAGACAGGGAGAGAAACATCAATGTGTAATACATTGATTGGTTGTCTCTCACAAGTTCCCAACTGGGGGACTGGCCTGCAACCCAGGTATGTGGCCTGACCTTTCAGTTCTCAGGCCAGCACTCAATCCACTGAGACACACCAGCCAAGGCTAAAATCTTTAACTCTTGAGCTCCCCTGTCATTCCCCCAGTTTTCAAACACCCTACTCAGGGACATAAAGCACATAAATCCAATTAGTGCCATTTGCCAACCACACCCAAGGACAGATGAAGTTTAGGGAATAAATCTCATTTTGGTGGATCAGCATAAAACTAATGAATGTTCTGTTGAGATCCTCCCCCAAAGACCTCCCCTAAACTCCAGCCTTTAAAAATCCTAACACCAAAAGTCCCAACCTGTGCTCTCCCTCACAGGAGTATGACTTTGCCTTTCCCTCCCCCTTTTCTTCCCCCACAGGCATGCATCTCCTAAATTCTAAGGGACTCCACAAGGCTTACAACCAGGGAGCAGTAGGAAGCAGCAGCTTATCCCAGGCTAACCCGCTGCCCCCGTTCCCAAGGCCCCCTTTTCTCTGACTTCTTAGTGAGCCAAGGCAGCTCTGTTCAGGCTCTCCTGTTGCTTCCAGTATCATAAGCCATTCCTTGTTTCACTGTCCCGTTTTACTAAACTTCCTCTAAAAATCACGTGGACTCCTGTTGTGAAAGCTTTCCTACACAAAGAGAAACCACAAACTACCGGCTTGCTCAGGGCCAGGTTCCTTTCCAGTAACGATAACCTGGCTCAGATTCTAACACAAGTTTTTTGGCTACAGTGTTGAGAAGAGATGAGGAGAACAAACATAAAAGCTGATGATTGCAACAATGCAGTGAGGCCATGGTGGTGACTAACATCAGGTGGTGAGCAGTGGAAGTGGTGACAGGTCATTGGACTCTGGACATAATTGAAGGAGTCAATATAATTAGCTAATATGGTGGATAAAAGTCACTAAGGGAAAAAATTGTCTGACAAAGCTATGAACACAACTTTTGCGCTTCTGACCTCATGGCCCTACAGGAAAAATAGCATTGGCACGGGGTTTGTTAAAGGTTAGCTTGTGAACAGGTATCATAACATTAAACTTCTGGTTCAAGAGGGAAAAACTCATTGTAACGTATGGAGCAGTGTTAATGCCCTCTGAACCAAAAAGCCCCGAAATTTTTGCTTCAGGTTGTTGGAAATATGTGTAGATGGAGAAACAATCACCACAAAGATTCTGAGAAACTCAGTAGTCCCTCACTACTGACAGCAACAAAAAATTAAACCAAACTTTTCAACTGGATTTTAAGGGTTCCATGACCAATTTAAATTGCCACTGCAGTATATAATATGGAAAGAGGTACATTAACTATCAATATTCTTTGATTAATAATATAGAGAGCATCCCTGGCTGGTGTGGCTTAGTGGGTTGGACATCAGTCTGCAAACGGATTCCATAGCCCTAGATAGCCTGTTGGATTTCCAGTCAGGGCACATGCCTGGGTTGTGGGCCAGGTCACCGGTGCAAGAGGCGATCACTGTTCTCCCCCCTCTCTTTTTCCCTCCCTTCCCTTCTCTCTGAAAAATAAAATCTTTTTTAAAAAATTACTCCACTGGGTGTGGGAAAGCTACTGTTCCACAATGCAATCATGTTCACCACAGTTTGGATTCCTCAAGACCATTATCTCTACCTGTCAAACAGATCACTGGCTTGATTCCTATGGGTTTTCAGAACCAGAGCATCTAGATATGGCATTATACAAAAGCTGTACCAACATGTTTTTAAAACATCTTCAGCACAAACATTGTTATTGTAGAAAAGATGTTGGCTCGTTAGGGTTTTGATTCCAAAGGTGCCATTTACTTCACTCTAAGTACTATTTCCCCACTTTAAATGGTGATATTTTCGTAGTGGAGCTGTTTTGAGGAAAATGATTTAATATTTATAAAGCCCCCAGACCAGTGCCTGGCAATGGCCAGTACATGTGTTCATAATTATTCCAAGACGAAGGCCTCACCGAATCTCATGAATTTAAATTTAAATGTTGAAAGCAGAGAAATAAAAACTGTCATTTTCTCAACGCTCCAGGGTGTTGGCTAGTTCCAGGTGTGCAATCTTCGTTCAAAATTTCAAGTACAAAATCTCCCGATCATCCTTTTAGAGTACACAAATTCTTCAAAACTCCCTTTTGTTTTTTTTGTGTGTGTGTTTTTTTAAGTAAAACTAATTCGGACACAATCGAAAAGGCAAAGGATTTCCTATGACCATACTGAAAGTTGGGTGAACAGCTGGGAACAGTTGGGACCCTGGATGTTTAAACGCTGGCATTTCTACAGGACAGGTAACTAAGACCTCCCTGAGACGTTAATCATTCGGAATTACCAGAAAAATAGTAAGAGCGCCACGAGGCCTCAGAACCAGGCTGCACTTGCCCTGGAAGCAACCTGGGGCATCCAGGAGCAAGCCGAGCTTCCGAGCCTACCGCGGCAGGCGACTGAGCCCGTTCTGAAGGCTCCGCATCCCTCTCGGAGAACCAGATGTTTTCTCCCAACGCCTCCCCGCTGCTTTCACAGCCCAAGACAGCGAGGAGACCAAAGTGAGGTCAGCTCGGAGCGAGGAAGAACAGTGAACGGATTAACCCAGCCACACTGCAGGATCAAACTCTGAAGCTTTAGCTCACAGCCGCCGCGGCGGAAGTGGGCGGGGCGCTATGGAAGGGGGCGGGGCGGCGGGCGGCCCTTCGGGAGGCGCGCGCGTTTCCGGCGTGAGCGGCGGAGTTCTCCAGCAGGGGCACCGGCGGCTCCCAATCGCGCACAATGAGACAGCTCTGAGCGCCGGAAGTAGGACCGAAGGAAAACACAGAGTGGGAGCCCAGCCGGGACAGAAAGAGGCGGAGGACCGCTGCGGAGGTGGTAAGTGTTTCAAGCGTCTTCTCCCGGCGTCCCTCCCAGACTCGTCCCTGGGCTAGATCTCCGGTAGATTCTCTGGTTTCCAGACTAGAGGGCGGGCTCCGCCCAGGAGTTACGTTGGCTCCATCCACTGCCGGCCTCCTTGCCCCAGTTGCGGGGACCCTGAAGCCCCCAGGCCAGTGGGGACCGACCTCTCGAGTTCGAGTCCACATCTTCACCTGTGTCAGACACTGCAGAGGCAGAAGAAGGGATTTGGGTGAAGGCACTCGGCCTGGGCCCCCTATCCAGCTGGGGGGACCTCGGAACCCATCAAGGAGGTAGGTCACTTCCTGCTTCCTGGTACCAGCGGTGGCTTCGTGGCCAGGAGTATGGGGATGCTTCCTCTTTCTCCGCCTCCTGTCCCAAAGGGTGGAAACTGAAGCGGATCGGCGGTGGGGAGATCAGATGGGTATCGAGGAGGGAAAATTGCAGTTCGAGACAAAACCAAACTTGTTTGGGGCTGAAGAATGAGGACTTGGGGAGGATAGTTGGAGTTGTTGCTTAGTCAGAAATCTAGCCCCTTTGACTAAAGCGGAATCTTGGTTGGCAGCTTAGACCCTCCGTAGCCCAAGAGATCGAAGCCTGTCGTTCTGAATAGTGGTGGTGAGGTAAGCCGAGTCCCCTGGGTGCGCAGAAGGGATGGAAACGTGGAGTTCTGGGACGTACTACGTTCAGAGAAAGATTCGGTTGCTTTGTACGACACTTAAAAGTAATTGCCACTTTTTTAAAAAGACTGTTTCGGGAGTTTTCTAACAGTATAGGTTTGGGATGAAGATTTTTTTTTTACGAGAAGTGCTTTTGTCAGTATAGGTAAAAGCCTACTAACTTGGTATAAGTAACTTTTTTATACTACAGTTCTCAAGACTACAGGGAACTTCTTTTATTCACAGATTTAATCGTCATGTTAAATAATAAGTACTAATTTTCATGAAGAATGTCATAGGACTAAGCCTTCTAACTTGTAGTGTAATGCACCGATTATTGGAATGTGATAGAAATTAGGGGGGAAAGGAGTTTCTTACAGTCTTTTGAGCATCTATACATGTGTGATATTTTGTACACTTAATGTAATACCTTGTTACAGTTTGATTATTTTTCCCCAAAATGCTTTCTTTCAGGTGCAAAGTAAGAAAACTGAAGTCAAAGACCATGGGAGATGCAGCAAAACCTTATTTTGTGAAGCGTGCTAAAGACCGAGGGATTATAGATGATGAGGATTTTAGAAGGAGTCACCCTCAACAAGATTATTTGATAATGGATGATTATACTAAAGGCCATTGCAGTAAAATGGAAAAAGGCCTTCCCAAGAAAAAAATACCCCCAGGAAACTATGGAAATACCCCTAGAAAAGGACCATATGCTGTTTCCAGCAATCCATATGCATTTAAAAATCCAATTTACAGTCAACCTGCTTGGATAAATGACAACCACAAAGATCAGAGTAAAAGGTGGCTATCTGATGAATTTGCTGGTAATGCAGAGAGTTGGAGAGAATACAAACAAGGACCTAGAATTCCTGTTATAAATCGACCAAGAAAAGACTCCTTTCAAGAAAGTGAAGATGGTTATAGGTGGCAAGATGGAAGAGGCTGTAGGACTGTAAGACGACTATTTCATAAAGACCTGACAAGCCTAGAAACGATGTCAGAAGTGGAAGCCGGAAGCCACGGTAATGTGTTACAGATTGTCAAGTTCCAACCCAAAGTTAGCAATGTCTTTTTCATCCAAATGAGCTATTATTTTCAGCAATGCCATTTATTAATTTTTTTGTAGTTTCTGCTTATTTAATGTGATTATTTTAAGGATTACAGTTACAATATTTGGGCAATTTCAACACTTGCATGTATATTGGTCCCTTTAAGAGTTTTCTTTGCCACAAGGCTTATTTTACTTTAGTAGGATGCACCATATTTCCTATTGGTGGTTTTTACAGAAGAGGGTGATCATATTCTCCTGGAGACTGTATTATAATATCTGAGTAGTGTGTATATAATCTCTAAATTATGTATCACAGTTCTGTATTTATAAAATGAATGGGACCGTAATATAAATGACAGAATATGAAACTTAAAATAATCTTATTCAATGTAAAAGCACAATATAGGCTACATATATCTCTGGCCACAGAGGGATCAGAGGGTAGTCCAAGATTTTCTTTTTCTGCAAAGTGAACATGACAGACAGGTTGAGAGATACTAAGTTTAGAAAGTCAAAAGTACAGATTAAAGCTTTGCCTTTTAGATTCAGTAAAACAAAAACCCTTTTCTGAGTGCCCTACATGCTTGATAATAACTGCTTCCAAGTGATTTTACATTTTTCTAAAAGGTGAATAGATTTAGTCTATGTAGCAGTGATCTCTATAAATAGGAAAATTGTTACTTTCTAATGAACAATAACTATGGAAATGAAGTAAAGTCATAAATTTGAAGGAAAAATAAAACAATGATATTTAGTCTGAAAATACAAAGTATGCATAGAAAATTCTACTTGGAAAAATGGGCTATTGCCTTGTTGGCTTGCAGGCCTGTTTTTTAATGGCCATATAGAATGGGTTGCAAACTGACCAACATATTTAAAAGGTTTTTTTTCCCCCCATTCAAATGCATTTAGGCAATGTTGGTGCTTTTTAGGCCTCCAGAAGCCCCTTTTCTTCATGTTATATCACAGTGGTCATTGTGTGTGTGTGTGTGTGTGTGTGTGTGTGTGTGTGTGTGTGTAGATATATATTCTGTTGGACATTTGTGACCTGGACCTTTAGAAGACTTAGAAAGGAAAAAGTCGTGTTCTGTCTTTAGAGAGACTTATGAAAATATCACACGGGAGAAAAGGTGTTATTTTATGTTTTTAAAATAAGAAAAGCAAAAGACAATGCTCTGACTCTAATAGCCGAAACAGAATGAGGTATTAGAAAGGAATCAAAGAGTAGGAAGAGATAAAACCTCAGCTTCGTAAATCTTTAAGCTATAAACAGCTTGGAGGAATTGTCTAATGCAGTTCTCTGTTATGATATATCAAAGGGAGAGTCACAGTTTTACAAAGCAGGCAGCTGTGGCTCAGAGAGGTTAAGTTTATCCAGACTTGTTTATGTAGAATGGTAGATGAGGAAGTGGAACTGAAGTTGTGTACTTTGCTGTTCTGGCTCTTAACTAGTCACTAGACCTGGAAATCTGATCAAGAGTTTGCAACCAGAAAGATATTAAAGGAACTGTTTACATACCAAAAATCTCTTATATATATTTTTGTTTAGTCTTAAAAGAAGTAGATTTTAAGGGATTTTGAATAGGAAATACATCTTGACTATCTTTTTATTGAAAACAGTCAGAAAGCTCCCTTGTTTTCTCTGTATGAAATACAGTTGTGGGTGTTCACAAATGCTAAATGAAGGACTTTTCGGTCTCTGTCCCTTGAAAATCTTCATACAGAAAATATTAAGCTTTGGTATAACATTGCTTACTGTAGAGAGAAATTTAAAGTATAAACTTTGTACTGTACTTAGAGATTCCTAAAAAGGATCTCATTAAAGGAACTGAAAATTTTCTTGAAAATGTCTTAATAAAGGATGATATTAAATGATGTGAATTGCTTTATTTTTAATACTGTTTTTCGGTTTTCCATTACCACTTGTGTTTTATCCCTCAAATATCCTAGATTGCCAATGTAGTGTATTTGGGACATTGCCATTAATAATCTTAGCTGGAAAACAACCACTCAAATACACATCCTTTGTGAACAGAACAGTGGTCCATATGCAAATAAAATATGGAAACTTAGAATACTGTATATAGAGAATTCATATTACAAAAAAATTACAAGCCAGGTAGTCTCCTACCCAGTAATTATGGGAATTCTGTAGCAACACCCAGCTTTGACTTCCAAGATCTCCGGCTGCAAGATTTTATTTGATCGTTTTTGCTGTGCAGGCCTGTGAGTCTTGGTTCAGAAGGTTATATTGCCTTATCAGTTCTGATCTGTTCTAGATGTTAGTGGGTATGCTACAAGAAGGGATTTTAATTAATTGTTTTTAGTTCTTGCATTGTCAGAAGGCTGAATTTAAGAATTCCATCTGTGCTTTAATTTCTATTTTGAATCCCTTTACTTTGGTTCAGTCATGTGTCCCTGGACAAGTTACTTATTTTCTCAGACCAGCATTTTTCCCTTCTGTATAATGGGGATAATTTTAGCTTCCATGACAGGATCACTGTGGAGATGAAATGAGGCAGTGCACATAAACTACTTGCACTGCATCTGTCACATAATAAAATACTCTAATAGCTGCTGTTATTGTCATCAGACAAAATTTCTGCAACCACCTACTTCTCTGTATAAAAGCAATAAGGACTTAATTGTATCCTTTGTAGGGAAGTTGAAGTCATTCTTTCTAGAAAGTGGTTGCAAATATAGTTATATTTAGTAGCCTTTGTGATCAGGAGAAAGGAGGGGTTAAAAAGGGAATTAGACTCCATATCAGTTAGTGTTTCGTGAACTAACATGGACTTTCCTGATGGGTATTGCACATACTAGTGCAAATCTCCAATGAGTGTTGGCCTAAGTAAAAAATTTCTGTCCTGAATACTCAGGTTAGATGCAATTACTTAAGAGTAGAGTGTCATGATAAGCAAATTAAATGAAAATAGACACATCTCTTAAAGTAAAAGAAATGCTTATCTCAAAAGTTTAGGCAGACCAAGGATACTGCCCTTAAAAGATTGATCATTTAATTGGGAGTAGGGGGAGTGTTTAAAACCCGGTACTAAGGTAGACTGACTTTTTTTGTTCTAATGACTACTTACCTTTTAAAATTTTTTTCATCCATTTTGATTGCTTTAAAAAAAAACTATTTGTCCTAATAGTATAATTTTGTTTAATTGCTACTTGTAGTATAGAAGCTGTTCGCAGAATTTCATTACATTCATCTTATGGTAGTTTGAGCACAATGCTTGCTGATTTTCCTTTAAAACTGTTGACAATAGCCTTTTAAAAACAAAGGTCCTATACCTCCGTTTTCTGACAGAATTTTTTTTCAGTCAGCTGATCCATTGTAGCTGCTGTACAGGTATTAAGTGCCACTGGAAACTTGACAGGAATTGCCGCATGCAGGGCATTGCAGTAGGTTTCTATTTTCACACTAGTTATTGGCAAACCATTTAGAAACTATTCAATCCATTTATCACAATTTTAATTGGGGGAATTAATTTTAGTCACGTGTTAGTAATAGCTTCTTTTTTTTAGAACTTGATAGAAGTTTATCCGTTATTTAAGACAATTTTTTATACAGCAATCCTGCAGTCTTCTTCAGTTGTACAGGTTGAAAAGTTATGTTTTTTAAAAAAGAAACAGATTCATTTATTATAAAGATTATAGTACTAACAGTACAGTCTGTAAACAAATGATTGGTCTATACTTATAGAAAACTTTTAGTGCAATTGCTGATTGTCTTTCCTTTGCAGTGTGCCCAGTGTGCATGCTATCAAAGAAGCTGAAATGAGAGAAGAGATAAAATGGGAAATGGTTGTCCTCAGTAAATAAAGTTTTGGTTCATATAAATGGGGGGGGGCAATTATCTGAAGACTAAATGTACAATTAAATTATGAATTTTCATTCCAGATAAGAATGTAGTTGATTTCTTTGGAGATGTTTTTATTGTCCATCTTTGCTCTGTTGACATTATTCACTTATAAAAATGAAAACAAATGTTGATAGCTTTTATTAGAATATAGTAGATACATGTACATTATATATTATGATATATTAAGTATATTAGAATCAGAGGTATACTTGCCTTCCTAGGATAGTTTTTTCTTTTTTTTTCTTTTTCATATTATAAGAGAAAGTTTATTTACAAAGTTACAAACGTATTAGAAGTGAGCCAGCGGGCCTGCATAGACTTTGGAGATAAGTTACAGAAGCCAAAGAAGGGCCCTGGGAGCCTGGAGAGGGGAAGGCAGAGGTTACGCCCCGAGGGGAAGAAGAGAGGAAGGGATGGTGGGAAAGGCTCAGGCCCTCTCAGAGACTGAGAGCTCACCCACAGGATAATTTTTACTATTGCTTGAGTATGCTTAGCTGTATACCCACAAAAGACAATAGAATTAAATTGTATGGATTAAGTATAATTCCTTTCGAGTTTTCCAGACAGGTGATTTCTGTGGATTAATGTATCTGGATGAGGTACTTCATGAATATTTAGGCTTTCTATCCATGGGAGAGTCATCTCTTGTGCTCTGTGTTCAGATGTCATTCAGAAACTACGTGATTTCATTAATAAATATATAAAATCTGCTTTTCACTCAGTGCTGTTATTCAATATCATGGGTAATATTTGTTCTCTAACTTAAGAAAACAAGAAGCAGAAGTCCAGGCCTAGGAAGCCACGGAGGATGAGAAATGGGGAGAGTGAGCTGGACGGAGACTTGGAGGGCCCTGTGATTGACGAGTCTGTGCTTTCAACGAAGGAACTCTTGGGTTTACAGCAGGCTGAGGAGCGATTAAAAAGAGACTGCATTGACAGGCTGAAAAGGGTAACATCTTTTATTAGTTAAAATCCTTGTTTTGTTTCAACTGCATTAGTAATTGGGAATATGTGCTTTGATGAATCAGGTTTCTTACTTGATTACTAGTATCAAAGCACTACAAGCTACAAGTGATAGTTTGATTTAATGAATTACTTAAATAAATGACTATTAGGATACTGATAAAGTGACAGTAACGTATTAACAACTTTAAAAGTGAAGGGGAAACCCTCTTCTGGCTAATTTTTGTTGACCTGTAAATTTGAGGATACATATACATATATATATATGTCTCTGTAAATCTCTTCAAATTACAGCGACCAAGAAACTACCCTACGGCAAAGTACACCTGTAAACTTTGTGATGTTTTAATTGAATCCATTGCATTTGCCCATAAGCATATCAAAGAGAAGAGGCACAAGAAAAACATTAAGGTAGGTTTAATGTCACCACCGCAATTGTTTTCTTATCAGTTGCTATTACTTGTCTTCTTTGTGACTTTCCTCTCCTTAATGATTTACTGCTTACATTACTGGAATTTACTGTACCCTGTACACTTTATGTTGGTCAGATATGTTTTGCTGGGTAGTCTTGTGAATTTCCTTAAGGGTGGTATCAGGATGAATGAACTCATTGATAGGACCTAGGTGTATATCCTTATGCCAGTAATAATAAGGAAAATAATTTGTCATTGCTGTTTTTAATGTTCTTTTTGGCACATTTTCTTAACTCTTGCCTTTCCTCCATTATCACTTTATGTGCATGAAGAAATGTGTTTAACTTTGATAACATGAAGACTAACACAGCTAAAGTGAAAGGGAGGGGTAAGAAAAATATTCCAGAATATTACACAGAGTGTTGCCTTGGTAAATGGTAGAAGGTTAAAAGTTGTTTTAACCTGTTGAGTTGTTTTTAATCTCAACATTGATCTTAAAAGGAAAAGCAGGAGGAAGAGTTGCTCACTACGTTACCCCCGCCTGCGCCATCCCAGATAAATGCAATTGGCATTGCCATTGACAGAGTGGTACAGGAGTTTGGCTTACACAAAGAGAACTTGGAACAGAGACTAGAAATTAAACGTATCATGGAAAATGTGTTCCAACACAAGTTACCAGGTATTTTCTGAATTTGTTTTTCTATTTAGTTACCTAAAAGTACCTCATTCATTTTTTCTAATAGTAATAATTTTCACCTAATAGAAATTGACTGGCCATATCTTGAAGCTCTTAATTTTTTGCATGTTTTTGTTTTTTCTGGCTTCCCCCAAGGTTGCAAAGACTTTTACATGCATTGTCGTTAAATCTGTCTTCATTACGAATTTCATTATGTGCATGTATTTGAAATTAAATGCCACATGTTATTGAGGCCCTGTGGAACTCTCATGTATATGTTTGCTTACCTTTATACCTATTTAAATTGACACAGTATTTTGCGTTAAAATAGAAGTATCCTGGAGTCATTTTCAGGTATCTGTGTCCCAAAAGGTTCTATTTAACTACAGTTAAAAGAAATACAACATCTAAAATGAGCTTTGCAAACTGATTTTTAATAGATTTTGTATACTGTTGAATTCATTTTCCATGTTATGTTTGTGGAGCCATGGCAAACCGTTTGTTAGAAAGAGCCACAAGTGATTCTGAATCACAGCTGGAATTGAAATCACTGTTTAAATTATCGCCATATTACCCATAGAACCATTCGTTCTACTGAAAGATAATTATGTATAGTATATCATTCATATTCATATATGCTTCCATAAAAGTAAAGGGCGAGGATTTGCTCATTTCATTATGTAGTTACCTCATCCTTTATGTTGTAGACAGTTCCTGAAAAGTCTGTAATTTTGATAATTTTTGCCACAGACCTCTATTGTAAAATTGAAACTTTCAGAAAATTGAAAGTTTCTTTTTCCATAAGAAACTTTTAAAGCCCAAAGTCACTTGACTTAACCTAAAAAAAGGAAAACCCAAAGTTCCCTGACAAGAAGGGATCGATTTTTAGCACAATAGTAATAAAACATTCAGGGAAAAAATGTCGTAAATATAGGCAGTACACAAGCATACACATTTTTCTTTGGAAAGTGAATCACATATTGCCTAGCATTTAAATTATATCAGTCATAGAATTATTTTTCAAAAGGTTTCCTAAAGGAATTATGTTATATGCTTTTTGTTTATAATGTAGTAAGTATTCATATGAAAAAGTAAGTTTATGCTGAAGGTCATTTTTATGATTATTGGTTTAGTATACTATAGATTTATAAATATAAAACAGGCATTTCTTGTTATCTTTTGCATATCAGCATTTTTAAAAAGTATTTTCTGCACAAAGTATGAAATGATAATTTAGGAATTTTTCAAACATATTTTACAACCTAAAAGGGTAGCCCTTACATTAAACCGCAGTCAACGAAGCCTTCCCTGTTAAATAAAATAAAATAAGCAAGAGTGACCCTTGCTACCCTTTGTTTATGCCAGCCTTGAGTACTGTTTTGCTTTTGTATATAGTTGTAATTGATGGTTCCATATCTGAAATAGTGTTTTGTTATAACTTTCAAGAAGCCTTACTTTATTTACAGCTTTCATTTATTTAAATTTTTTTTAGATTGTTCTCTGAGATTATATGGGTCATCCTGTAGCAGATTGGGTTTCAAAAATTCGGATGTAAACATTGACATTCAATTTCCAGCCATTGTAAGTACAAAAGGAAATGCTGGAATTTTCATAGAGTCGTGTAGAAATTCTTACTTTCAAATGTGAGCTGTATGTCAGATATGAATATGTTTTAGAGATTTGAAGATATTTTAAGTATAATGGTGGCAGGTCTTTTTCCTAAAATTTCCATTTTTATGTTCTTCTACCTGTCTTCAATTTTAGGGCATTTTTTTTTTAATACTGTACAGCTTTTCATACTTTACTCTTTAGATCTTTCATACTTCACACACTGGTATTCTTACCATGTGAATCTAATGGGGCTATTTTAGGTTCTGCTAATTTGAAAAGATTAATTTACCTTGGTAAAGTCAACTTTCCAATGGCAGGAAAGAAGTTTAGATTTTAAGCAGTGTAGCTATATAAGGGTTTCCTCTTTTTTCTTCTTCTTTTTTTTTAATTTTCACTGAAGATATGTTTATTGATTTTAAAGAGAGAGGAAGGGGTGGGGAGAGGGGCAGGGAGAAAAACACCGAGGCTCACATCAGTTGGTTTCCTGCTGTATGTGACCCTTCCAAGGATCAAACCTGATCAGGAATCGAACTCACAACCTTCTGGTGTACAGGACGACACTCCAACCAACTTAGCCACCCAGCGAGATAGGGCAGGGTTTCCTCTTTTATATACCTACTTTGTAAATATCATGCTTTTGAAGAACCACGCCTGACCTACTTTTCTTGTTTAAACATGATTCAAAAAGCTTTTGATGAGTCAGAATTTTAAAACTGGAAGGCACTTTAGTAGATTACCCATTTATTCACTGGTGGTTCCCATAGCCCAGTTTGCAAATGGTTCATGTCCATTTACCTGGATTGCCGGTTAAAATACAGCTTCCTGGGCTCTACCCCTAGTTCTGTTTCATAACCTTATTCTTCACCATCCCTGGCTTCAACTGACCAATAGATTTTTCTGTTCTTCCTATTCTTTTAACCTTAAATTCTGAGTAGTAATTTTATTAGCATAGCAGTTATTTTGATCTCATGTCATTCATTCATTTACCAGTACTCACAGAGTGTTATATTGTATGCCAGGCACTATACTGGATTCTAGAGAACAGAACAGCTATGATTCCTCCCTTATAGAATGCATACCTAGTGAAGGAGATAGGTAATTACATGTGTATTATAATTAATTATGAGAGTTATGCAGGGAAACAAGGTTCTGTGCCAGCAAACAAGGGATGTGCAGATACACTAGCCATGAAGGCCCCTTTGAAGAGATAACATTTAGGCAGAGCCCTAAAAAATAAAAAGGGATGAGAGGAGCGAGAGGGGTAGACGTGTTTCAGGCAGAAGCAACGGCTTGCAGAAACACCCTGAATCAGTGAAGAGCTTGGCCTCTTCAGGGAGCTGAAGGGAAGATTGCACAGCTGCAGTGAAGGGACCAAGAAAAAGAAGAGCTTAAGATTAGGATAGAGGGGTAGGCTGGGCCCAACAGGCATGATCTGTAGACCGTGGTAAAGAATTTCATTTGACTTAAGGGCATTAAGAAGCCATTAGCAGTCTTAACGAGGGACATGACCTGACTAGATCAAATCCATGCTTTTAAATGGTTTTGGTTCCTCTGTGAGCAAGGATTGGAGAAAGGCAAGACTGAACTGGAGACTGAGTTAGTGATCTGTTGAAGGAGTCTTATAGAGTGAGAGAGAATATTGTTCAGTTTGACAACTTCTAGCCACAACTTTGAAGATTTACTGAGAGACTAAGTAACTCAGGAATTAGTCAGTTAGGAGTTAACTGTGTAGTAGGTCTCCTTTGCCCATACTCATCCTCATTTGATGCTCATCTCTGTGTCCCCGACCAACATGTGCACACAGCGTAATGATTAACTTCTTTACTCTGGGAGTAATGCACTAATTTGGATAGCTTCAGATGACTGTGTATTGTCTCAGTGAAGCAGAAGTACTTATGGATTATTTGACGTGTTCATTGATTTCTTTTCTAGATGTCTCAGCCAGATGTTCTCCTACTTGTTCAAGAATGTTTAAAGAACAGTGGTAAGGCCAAATTCTTCCACGGTTTGCTCTTAACTATTTCTTTTGTCTATAATTTGAATATATCATTTTTGAAACTTTGAAAATAGGAAGTCATGGTTTTAAAAGTATATGGGTAATATGCAAACAAAAACCACAGCGAATGCCTACTAACAAGTTAGAGTCCTATTAGCTGTTCTGCTACGCAGAATAACCATTTTGTAAGTAGAGCTTTTAGCTTGCTGATAATGTCACAATTTATAAAGATAAAATGAGTCCTAGGCCAAGATTAAAGAGACACAAAACTTGTAAAATTTCCTCTTGAGGATAAAACTAGAGATAATCTGTTTAGTTCCTTAATAATGGTTTACATTAATACTTTATAATGGCAAATAGGTGTGGCCCATCCCTGATTAATACATCAACAAATGGTTGTTCCCAAGTACATTTGTTGTTTGTTCAAGTGATGTCCAGCTTGAGGCTTTATGCTTTCCATAAGTCTTACCCGACTGTCTTATCTCTTGAATTAGTTTTTCCCATGCTTCTTGTTGAATTAAACATAATCTTTTTACTTACTTTAGTCAGTATGTTTTTTTAACCCCAAGTACTTCAGTAGCTTTTGCAGCAGGGGTTTTTTTAAATATCCTATCCATATTTCTAATTGTGTTAGTCATATAACATTTGAACATTCTAATTCAATAATATAGTCATTTCTGGTCAAACATTAGTTTTACAAAATAAGGGTTTTAAATTAATGTGATTACTTGATTCTTGACTATACTCTTCCTTTTCAAGTCATCTCAGAACTTTATTTAGTAATGGTCTTTTAAAAGTCTGAGCAGAGAAGTCACAATAGAACTTGGTACTCTATCTAGATTTCTTTTTTTTTAGGTATAACTCACCTACTTAAAATTTTTTTCTTTTTTCGTCAGATTCTTTTATTGATGTTGATGCAGATTTCCATGCTAGGGTGCCAGTGGTAATGTGCAGAGAGAAGCAAAGGTCTGTTTCTATAAGCTGTTTATGTATTAAATATCAATTTGCCAAAAGCACATGTACTTCACTGAATCTTAGTGTCCAGTTTCTAGAATGATAAACTCCTTATGTAGTTGATTTCATGGGCTTACTACTAACATTCTCCCTATACTTTCGGCAATTGATGCAAAAGGAAACAGTGTTTTAAAGAGAAGAAAATTATTTAAAATTAAAAGAAGAAGGAAACATCCTAACCCATTTCAACATAGTAAAAAAAAAACAGCTTTATCAAATACTTACTTGCTCTGATCACCTTCGCTGGCCATCTTTTTTAGCAGAATTTTTAGCAGTGCTAAATAGCCAATGGTGTGACTTCACCCATGTATCCGTCCCTCCGTCTGGAAGTACACTGTCAGTACTCTTAAATGGGTGGTTTATAGGCTGTAACGATTGTTCACTAGGCAGACTCTTCCAACTCTTGGGAGAACCCTCTTACAAATATGAATTCATGCTCCTAAATGAAACATTTTATAGTACTTTCCTTAGTTTTAGTTCTGAAAAGTAAAAGTTACTCAGAAAAGAGCTGACCTGTCTTTTTTTAAATTAAAAAAAAAAATAGTTGCTTAAATGACCCAGAAAGATTTATTGAGTTTTTTATTTTAGGTACTTATTATCAGTATAAATTAGTTGTTGTTGGCATAAAAGATACTTGATACAACTATATAACACTTTTTTTCTTTCTCTTTTTCCTTCCCATCCTCATTCTCAACCCCCACCAGTGGTCTCTCTTGTAAAGTGAGTGCAGGAAATGAAAATGCTTGTCTGACAACAAATCACTTAACTGCCCTTGGAAAATTGGAATCGAAGCTGGTTCCTTTGGTGATTGCATTTAGGTACTGGGCAAAGGTAGGGTTAGTGCTCAAATGCATGAATACGTTCAATTTATGCATAAGCAGTATGCCTTGATTTTTGCATGGTTAATTTAATCTCAGATGTTTGGATGCATATTTATAGACATTAAGAGAGTAGACATCTGAATATTGGAACTGAAACTTCAGTGTGCACAGAAAAGGAAATTTGCTGTTTCTATTTTACTCTAACTGTATTTCTCAAAAGATAAAAATGACTTATAGGGCTTATTAAAAATCAGATTTGTGGGGCAAATCCTAGAGGATGTGGCCCAAGAATTTTACATTTTAACTAGTTTTATGAGGTGGTTCTTAAGGACAGGAAAGTTTGAGATAAAGCTTTATTTCCAGTAATATACCCAGAAACTCCCAAAAATGAAAACCACTGTCTATATGGTCTTGCTTACACAGTCATAGTATCCCAATTGAAATACTAGTAGAGCATTTAACATTGCCCCAAAATGTAAGGTCCCATCAAGATTATCAAATTGAGTTGCTGTGCAAGTGCTTTATAGAGAAAATCTAAAGCTTTACTGATTAGTACATAGCAGTAACTATATATACAGTATTTTGCCATGTGTAATGTGCACCCACATTTTGTGCACATTTTACATGGGATCATGATACATATTCATTATACCCATGCATAATGCATATCCTTATTTTTCCCTCAAAAATTTGGGCTAAATTGCAAAATACATACAACATAGAGTAGTTCTTATGGCTTGGATCCAGGACAAACAGAGAATACCCTACTCTTAATGGGGTAAATTGATAATTACAATATGCCATACTTTGAAAGCTATCTCCTGCTTAATCACTAAATAGGCCATGCTTTTTAAGTTGTTTCTGTTTGTGTTAATGAATCTGCCTATATTCTGTCCCCTGATCACCTGTGTGGGCAAAGCATGCATTTTTTAAGGCAGCAGGTTAGGATGATGGGGCCATTAAACTGAGTGAAGCTAGTTGGCTTGCACTTGGAATTGAACCAACATTTTTATTTCATTAACAGCTGTTTTAACCAAGTGAATGGATGACTGGATGTCAAAAATGAAACAAAATATTATTTTAGGGTCCTTCATGAGAAAGGGTAGTTAACAAGATTAAAAATTTGAAATTGAAGCTGTTGCTTAAAACCATAATATGTAGTTGCTCCAAAAGTATTAGGAAGTTTTACACTGTGTCACTGTGGTGTTTTATTCTGAAGAGTAAATCATATAATACAAGGAAAAGAAGTTACAGGTTTTAGACTGCATTGTGTGAATGACAAATTTGTACAAAAGAATGCTTATTCTCTTCTCTCCCTTTTGCAGCTTTGCAGCATAGATCGCCCTGAAGAAGGAGGTTTGCCACCTTACGTGTTTGCCCTGATGACCGTTTTCTTTCTTCAACAGAGGAAAGAGCCCCTTCTTCCTGTTTATCTGGGATCATGGGTATAAAACTTTTTTTGGTTATATATTCAATATAGATTTTTATTACCAGGCCACACAATACCTCTGCATAATTTCAGAATTTAAAAAGCTACTCAGAATTGACATGAAGGTACTTATACTACTAGTGTGAATATTCATACCTTCCACTGCTGAAATATTAATGTATTGGTTTATAAGATGCTGCCCTATGCTCTGCTGGGAGAACTTGTCTAAACTGAAGAAAACACTTAACTTGTGAAACACATGTGATCCTGAGGATTTTGAACAAAGAGGAGGTGAACCTGTATTGAATCCATCATTTGGTACATACTTGCTTTGAGTACCGTTTCATAATTTGATATTTGAATGTACATCTGTCCTCCAGACAGACTGTAGGAAGCATTTGTTTCACTGTAACTTAATTTCTATTCCTAGTCTTTATTTTTCTTTTTTCCCCAATCCCTGTGAAACAAAGAAAATGTAAGTATTGCTATTGATGCAGAAATTAGTGGTCATCTCTTGAATAATACTTTAGTATTATCTTTAAGAAAAAGTGGTCTTCAGTTATATGACCATTCTTTCTGGATAAAGTTTAGTTGATTTATTCATAAAATAAGATTGAAGAATAAGCCATCTCAAAGTCCAAATGTTGTTATTCTCATCCTCTTAGAAACCTCACTTTTAATCCCAAGGTATTCATCTTGATAAAATCTATATAGAAAGTCTCACTTAGTGAAAAGCTAACTTTGGCACATTGGGTATTTTAACTTCCTTTCTTCACACTATGTGTAGAATTCTCATTATTTAAGGAGCATACACCAGAGCAGTAGTTCTTTACTATGAATACATAGAAAAAATATGATTATAGGGATTTTTTTCTTTTTACTTAATAGACTGGGAATTAAGCAGTGCCCTTTGTCTGCAAGGATCTAGGAATAAAGCAGAGTAAGCCCCTTACAAACTCTGTCCTGGCATAAGGCCTTGTAGTTCACGGTGCCTCGGTTGTCTAATGGGAGCTCTCTTCCTATTTGTGGTCCTGCAGTGAAAGAATCCAGGGCCCTGGAAAGGTGTCTGCTGGACTCCTGTCCTGGCGGAAAGGAGCGAGAGAACAAAGCCAGCTGAATAGGGATCATGGGTATAAAACTTTTATATGGGTATAGCCCTTCCTGTCAGACAGAAGTAGGAGTCTGGAAGTCTGAATGACTTTCCCCAGTGAAGCACTGAATTAAGCAGTTTATTGGGGGAAAGGAAAGTCTTTTCAACAATTAATGCTGGGAAAACTAGATTCCATAAAGGGAAAAAAATGAACATTAAACCTTTGCTTCATAACACCCTGAAATTAACCCAAAATGAATTAAAGATATAAATGTCATAGTTAAAACCATAAAATGCCCAGAAGAAAGCCTAGGAGAGAAATCTTTGCAGCCTGGGAATAAACATGGATTTCTTAAGACAAACACTAATATTGTAAACCGTATCAATAGAGAAAAGTAGTGATAAGCTTTTTATTCTTCAAAACCCATCAAGAAAACAAACAAGCCACAGAATTGAAGAACAATAATTGAATACATACATCTAACAAACAGTCACTACCCCTTGTATTTTCTGTAAGAGAGTGGTTTGTTCTTTCAGTCAGTCGGCAAGTCCTCGCTGAGCTTTTACCTGTGCCGGGCACTGTTCCAGATGCTAGAGTTAGATCAGTGAGCAAAGGGGCATCTTTTTCCTCAAATGTATATATCCATTGAGGTGGGAGAGACAAGCACATACCAAGTGGCCATAATTTCTCTGAGGAAAACTAAACCAGGGGAAGAAGGACAGAAAGTGAATGGGGAGGATCTGTTTAGAGAAGAAGATATCTGAGCAGAGCTTGAATGCGGTAAGGGAGAGTGGGCTGATTGTTGGGGGAAAGAATTTTCTGAGCAGAAGGACTAGCATATGTCAGCTGTGAGCCGAGAAGACAGGTCACGGAAGTAGCAAAGGACCAGATTACATGGGCCTTCTCTAGGCCCTGGAAAGGACTGAATTTCATCCTGGGTTTGAAGGAAACCATTATAACTGGTAGCAGCATTGGTTTGGTTTGGTTTGGTTTGGTTTGGTTTGGTTTGATGAAGGATTGCTCTGCTGAACCAAAGAAGTAGTCCATCTGATGTGGAAATGCATCTGCAAGGTGGCATACCACATCCACACCCCATCCCACAATTCATTGTGTACGTGAACCTGTTTAAAGGCGGTGGTAAATTCCATTGTGCGCTAAAGAAACCTGTTCAACTTGTTTCCATGTTTCTTAGACCTTTTGAGCCCAGACCGTTCTTCAGCATTTTGCATCTCAACAGTATCAGTAGAAGCAATATCTTACACTTACTGAGCATTTACTATGTGCCATACCCTGTTTCTGAATCCTTTCATTATTTCATGTTACCACTATCCCATGAAGGAGGTTCTAGTGCTATCCATTTTAACAAAAGCCTAAGACCTAAAGTAAGTACATGATGAGGGAACTGAGATATTTTTCCCTTTTGCATATTTTTAAGTTTATTGGGGCAACATTGGTTAATAAAATTATGTAGGTTTCAGGTATATAATTCTGTAATACATCATCTGCTTATTATATTGTGTGTTTACCACCCCAAGTCAAGTCTCCTTCCATCACCATTTATCCCCATTATATATACCCTCTTCTGCCTCCCCACATTCTCAGAGCTGAGATTGGATCCCAGACCGTTTTACTGCAGAACTCATGGCCTTAGGCTTGGGCCATGTTGCCTTCTCTTATACTGTTTACTAAAGAATTATTTCACAAGCCCTGGCTGGTGTGGCTCAGTGGATTGAGTGCTGGCCTTTGAACCAAAGGGTCTGAAGTTTGATGCTCAGCCAGGGCACATGCCTGGGTTGTGGGCCAGGTCCTCAGTGAGGGGCACACAGGAGGTAACCACACACTGATATTTCTCTCCCTCTTTCTCCTTCCCTTTCCCTCTGTCTAAAAGTAAAAATAAAATTAAAGATTTTGGTTTTTACTTTAACAAATATTTTGAAATTTACAGATATCTCAGATGTTTCATAACTTATGCCTTATATATTTTCAATGAACCATAAGTGTCCTTTCCATTCCTTCCAGGATTAATAAGCTCTGATTGATAAAAAATTGTTTCTGCCTTATAGTGATGTGTGTTTAATTTTTCCTAGATTGAAGGATTCTCACTAAATAAATTAGGCAACTTCAGCCTAAAAGATATTCAGAAAGACGTCGTGGTCTGGGAGCACACCGATAATGCCACGGGGGATGCAGACACGGCAAAAGAAGAGGCATCGAAAAAAGTACCTGTTAAAAGGGGACAGGTCTGTTCTGTCTCACTTCTAGTTCTACCGTCTATCTGTAATTCAGTCATTATGTGTAGAGCTTTGAGTTAATCAGCCCTCTCGTCTTTCCTCAACCATCTTAACGGTTTCATGGATGCTTCATTTCTTAGTCTATGCAGTCCTCTGTATAGATGATGAGAAAAGGTAAAAATTTAGGTCGTTGCATTCACAGTTATTGGTGTAGTTCTGTGTGCAGGGTCCTGTGAAAGATACTGAGATTTCAAAGCTAAATCCATATCTATCCTCAAAGTAGTTATGTCTTAGATGGTGTTATGAGGTTTAAATATATGAAAAATTAACCTCAGATTAGTAAAGTAACAGTGAATAAGTATATGAACTTGTTTCCATCCATACCATTAGGGGTGGGCAGGGAGTTTTTGCGTAAGGAAAGAAATGCCACTTGAATGTTAAACAAAAATCTGAGCAGTGGAATTATACTGGTAATAAGACCCCACAACCTTATAATCCTTTGGAGTGAAATGACAGTAATATCCACCGAGACCAGGGTTTTAACCCCAGCTTTACAGCAGTAAATCGTGTCACCCTCCTCGTCCATGGCTAAAATGAGGAGACAGTAATAAGCCCTAGATGCTTCGGTTGTGTTTTCTGGACTCCTTGAGGCGGGAAGGGGGAATTGGTGCGCGCTCGCGCCTCTCTCTCTCTCTCTCTCTCTCTCTCTCTCTCTCTCTCTCTCTCTCGCCACCAGCACAGCAACACTCTCACGTGTCCCCTTTGGGGACTCAGTAGTAGACAACAGCACAGGCTGGGGAGCCAGAGGATGCGAATTTGTATCCCAGCTCCCCGGATTCCGAGCTCGTGTGTCCTGGAGCAAGTGCTTGAATCTTTCTGTGCCCCAGTTCCCTCACCTGTACATGGGGATGACTTTGGTATCCTCTCGTAGGGCCTTGATTTATAGAATGCTCAACTCAGTGCCAAAAAAGAAAGTGTTATCTACTTTAAAAAATAGTAATAACAAAAAAACAGCTTAAGCACCACTAGTCTAGATAGGTCAGAGGTCTCTTAAGTTTCATATGATGGTTATTATCAGGTCATTTCAGTGAGATGCTTAAAAATTCTTAGTAATGCTGAATAAGGCTTATGGATAGAGAGGTGAAATTTAATGAGGCTTTCAGTTTCTAGGGGTTTTCTTTGTGTCCTCAACTATAACGTTTGGGACTTAGCCTCCATTTTCAACCAATTCTTTGTAAATCCACCTGATGACTGTCTTACTAGACAGAACCCTCGTGGTTGAGATTTACTGGTTAATTTTATTAATAAAATACCATAGCGCTTTTTGTTTTCAAGCTTGCTGTCATAAAGTACAATTGGGAACAAATTTGTATACCTTACAAGGAAAAGCTATTGCTACAAGCCCAACTAAATACTTCCTCTATACATTTTTATGCGGAGAGAGCAATCATGCCACCGCTTCCAAAAGTGAGGTCTAGACTGTTGGAATTGCATGGTGTGCTGAGAGAGCGCTGTCCTGGGACGGGAGACAGCTCTCCTTCTGCCGCTGACCAGCAGTAGGACCTTTGGCAAGTCATGTAAACTTTTTGGCTTCAATTTCTTCTCTTGTAGCATACGGGAATTGAGCTAGATTACCTCTTAGGAGCATCTTACACTAGTGACTTTGTTTCAGTGATAAATGGATTTCTTGTACTTAAAAGATTATATCTAAGTGAAAAAATACCGAGAGCAAACAAGTCTGCTTTCCCTTGTTTCTGATTTAATCCTCATAACTATCCTGTGTTATAGGTGGTATCATCCCTACTCTGCAAATAACGGTAGCGACCATTTTTTGAACATGTGTGCCAGGCACTGTGCTAAGCTCTTTACAGACACTCTCACTCAGTTCTCCCAACAACCCTGTGAGGTGGGTACTGTGATCCCCATTGTTCACATGAGGAAACTGAGGCTTGGACGAGAATCATACATGGCTAGTACGTGGTGGAATTGGATTTCAGACCTAAGCATGTCTCATTCCAAAGCCAGTTCTCTTAGCCACTGAACTGCCCACTGGGAATAAAAATGCAAAGTCCAGAGCAGTTAGGAAGTATGAAGTGGCAGAATTAGTGTCAGACACATTTTTTTTTTCTATTCTAAGTCCTGTGTGCTCTCTAGTATATTACATCACAGTGTGTGCCAACTTGTCAGGAGTCTGTGAATGGAAAACTAGCATTAATTTCTGATACCAATAGTTATTTGACTCTAAAATCAGTTTAAAATCACTGGCACATTCAGTGAGCTTATGTCGCTTCTCAGAGCAGCTGAAAGGAGCATTTTTCCTTCTGCTCTATGCCTTTAGCTGCCCCCCCCCCGCCCCCCGCCCGTTTCTGTGTGTAACATTTTGAAGGCGCCCTCCAGCGGCAGAAACGGAGAGCTCAGTGCCAAGAGTAGAAAGATGTGTGGTTCTCTCCACTGTCGTTAAAACTTTGAAATTAGGAGTGCTGCCTGATTACATACAACTGCCTGTCTGTTCCTGTGATAACAATGAGATTTTAAAATACCCCAATACCATCAGTGTAGTGAAGGAGCGCTGTTTTTCCACAAGCAAAATTGAAACTGGAATGTGATTTATCTAAATGGTTTGTCAAATTTATATCTTTGCTAAAGTTTTTCATATTTTGAATATGATGCTTTTGAATGTTCTCTGATTTTTTAGTGTGCCAACATCTGAAGTAACCTGAGTTTTCTCTTTGTTATTAATAGGTATCATTAACATTTGATTTAAAACACCAGCCTTCAGTACCAGTTGGGCAGCTCTGGGTGGAATTGCTTCGATTCTATGCTTTAGAATTTAATTTGGCTGATTTAGTCATAAGTATCCGAGTCAAAGAAATGATATCTCGTGAATCAAAGGACTGGCCCAAAAAGCGCATTGCCATTGAAGGTATCTCAAAACGTTTATCTTTAATTCTTTTTTTGTTTGTTTGTTTTGTTTTAAGGCACCAGTCTAACAGCATGCTTTTTATTTCAGTCTGTTTTCAGCTCCTACATGTAAGTAGGCCTAACCCCAAAAGTGAAATAAATAACTAGAATCTTGCATGTGTTATAGTGGGTCATTTCAAAGAACTAAACTGTTCATTTTAAGTTTCTTAAGTGCAGCAGTAAGATATTTTAATTACTTAAGCTACTAAAATAATGGCTTGCTGAGTCCTTGCTTTCTTTGTAAATTGCTTAACAACTTGAACCCTTGAAAAGTTTTCTCCCAGTGATTGATGAACCCTTTTCTCTTTTAATTTTCTCATTTCTATATCTTTAGATTCAGTCCTTTCATGAATTGTTGTCGATGTTGTTTAGTTTTACAAACATTAAGGAAGATGCTTTTTCTCAAGAAAAATAACATTCTTTGTTAGATTTCTCTCCATAGAAAGGGTAGTTGTTTTTGGAACATCTGTAGTAACATTCAGAACTTACTCATAAAAACACTTTTTCTAGTGAAGGCTCGTTAACTGAAAACATTGTATAAAAGACACACTGATGTGCCCTATAGACTTCATTAAGTGGACCAGCACTTCTCAGCTTTTCAAAGTCAGAAGGTTGAAAACGCTCTAGAAATCTCAGTTCTCCTCCTTGAAATAATTTAAAGAATCTCCTTAAATGGAATTCTCTTATTCTCTTATTTTTGCTTGATTTTTTTTTTCAAGCTTTATATTGCGTAAGAGGGTTTTTTGGGGTTTTTGGTTTTTTTGTTTTTGGTGGTTTTTTTTTTTTTTTTTTGCATTTTGCATTTTGCATAAATTCTGTGTGCAGTCATAGGGATCTCACATTTTTAAACCCTCCCCTGCAGTTTCTCTGGCTCAGCTCTTCTGGCCAATTGCCTAACCTGCTGGAGTCTAGGGGAGGAGAAAAGATTGAGAGAAGTGGTGTCTCCTCCTGGTGCCTCCCTCTCACCCCTGAATTCAGCCCAGCCAGTTCAGTGATGGGGCTTCCCAGGGCAGAAGAGTGGAGGTAAGCTCTACAAACCACAGGGCCTGGCTGAGTGGGGAGGCAGAGCACTCAGCAGAGCCTGGCGGGAAGTCCTCACTTCCCCAGGGCACAAGAGCCACACTTATGACATCTTTTTTACCTCCACAGTCACAGAACAAAATAGGGAAGGGGTACTGGTTCAGAACAGAATGGGTTCTCTTATAAAACTAAGGAAAACATTCCTTTTTGTTCTTAAACTATGTCTTCTTACTCCTCACCCCCAAGTTTTTGAAAGCATATTTAAGATAACATGCTAAATTTTACATTGGTTTATTTGTTGTCTGTTTTTATCTGGAGCAGGCTAATGTTTCAAACATGCCTTACAAATGTATTCATTGGTGGATCTTTTGTTGTTGTTGTTGTTACAGATCCCTACTCTGTTAAAAGAAATGTGGCAAGGACCCTAAATAATCAACCTGTTTTTGAATATATACTTCATTGTTTAAGGACGACATATAAGTATTTTGCTCTTCCACATAAAAGTACAAAATCTAGCCTTCCAAAGCCTCTGAGTACTGTTACATTTACTTCAGAACATTCTAAAGAAGTAGCAAAGCATGATCCAGATTTACAAGCAAAAAATAATAAACTCAAAAACTCAGTTGTGGCTCAAGGTGCCAGTGCTCCCAGTTCAGCTGCAAACACCTGCAAGGTACAGGCAGTTACTCTTAAAGAGACTGCTGGAAGCGTTGGAAGCCCACCAGCAGAGGAACCAGGGAACAGACACAGCAGTGTGCACCTGGAAAACTCAGGCTGCAGCAAGGCAGAAGTCAGCGGTGATGATCGTGAGGATGTTAATGTACATCATCAAGAAACGGGAAGTAAAACTGAGAGAGAAAAAATTGGAAGGGAGGGCAAGCATCCTTTGACTGCTGATGCTCAAGATTTAAGCAGTAACAAACATGAACAGCCTCTTGTCTCTGATAGCACACGAAATACTGAGACAGATAGCGGTTTGGATTTAGAAGGCTTCCCAAATCCTACAGCAAAAGAGTGCGATGGGTTTGCTTCTTTAGATAACAACATTGATATTAAGCTTGAAGAAAGCATTGATATTAACAACCTTGAAGAAAGCTTAGAAGGTACTGATGAGCCAGAAGACACTTTAAGCCACTTTGCCCCTTCCAGACAGGACCAGACATCGGGAGTCATTCACTCTGATGGAGAGGGGGAGGAGGAGGATGAAGAACCCAGGCTGTCCGCTACCCGAAAAGAAGATGAGGATGGTGGTGCTAATGAAGATGGGTTAGACAATGCCTGCACCGGGTCGGGGGATGAGGATGCCCTGTCTGAAGAGGATGAGGTGGGCGAGTCTAAGTGTGAAGACTTGAAAGAATGTGGAAAAGATGTGGATGGAGCTCTACTAATGGAACTTAATAAAATCAATCTTAAGGAAGAAAATGTGTGTGAAGAAAATTCAACTGTGGGTCCATCTGATTTCTTCTATGAATTTAGTAAACTCACTTTCACCAAAGGCAAGGTGGGTAATCAGTGCCAGTCCTAGAACCGGGAGACTTAAAACAGTTGTAGTGTGCGTGATTTCAATTTTGTTTACTAGAACAGGGCTCTCCCCCATTTTGATAGTGGTTACTGAGTTGGTCTTTTACTCCAGTCCCTGGTCCACTTCCCTCCTTAGGCTCTCGGGAATTTGCACAGGAGGAAGGGAATGCTGTTGGTAGTGAAAATACCTGCCTTCTCCTCTTGAGTATGCCATCGGGGAGTCCCTGTCTCAGATGGTTTGGAATGGCTGCACGTTATAGTTTTAGTCCTTTGGAACGTGGAGAGTAGACCATGTACTTTTAAAAAAAGATTCAGGGCTTCTTTACTGGGCAAATCAAGTTTTATCTTAAGTCCTGTCTTGGCCCTCTTCCTGCAGTCTCCTATGGTAGTGTGCAGTTTGTGCAAACGAGAGGGTCATCTAAAGAAGGACTGCCCTGAGGACTTCAAAAGAATCCAGCTGGAACCTTTGCCACCATTAACGCCCAAATTTTTAAATATCCTGGATCAAGTTTGCTTCCAGTGTTATAGTAAGTTACTAACATTTGTTTTGATTTGTTAAAATGTTACGTTGAAGTTTTCTCGAGTCACCGGAATCACTAATCTTAGTCCTATTAGAGGGATTAAGTCTGTTCCATTCTCTAGTGTATGTATCTGCAGTGTTTTGTGTATCCTGTAACATTTGGGACGCATAATAAATCGTCGTTAAAGACTGGGAAGGAGGATCTTTAAAGTCTTGAGATTAGAGTACTATCGTTTCCCAACTGGTGTTTTACGCCTTTTTGGAGGTTATAAACTATGAAAGGAAACTGTAGGTCCTCCATAAATATATACATACACGCGTACTCGCAAACTTTTATTCAAACTCTGGGATAGTTTCCAGAATGAAAGCATCCTTTTCAAGCCCTGGGTCTCTGAAACCCATACTGGAACCCTGGTTCAGATTGGTTTCCATTTCTTGGCGATAGAATCTTTCTTTTTTTTTTTTTTTAAAGGCATCTTCTTTACTTTATATTGCCTATGCTGCCTACCAGGAAGACACAAAATTTAGGGCTTTTATTTTTAAACCTGTTAAATTTTATTTTATTAAAAGTACAGTTTTCAGAGAGTGTGAACAGTCTTTATTTCTGAATGTTTTTATTTGTTTTAAACAGAGGATTTTTCTCCAACTATTTTAGAAGATCAGGCTCGCGAACATATCCGGCAAAACCTAGAAAGTTTCATAAGACAGGAGTTTCCAGGTAAGTAATTCTTTGTGTTTAAGAAAAGAAGGGTAGTGTCCCCTTCCCTCAGAAAGCGTCCGTGTGTCCCAGTCACCTTTGTTACGAGAATGAGGCCATAGTCCTGCAGTGACGGGGGACGGGGCAGGGCTTCAGCTGCTTGGTGTACCTCGGACGGTCAGCGTCTGCCAGGCCTGGTCTTCCAGCAGAGGGGACGGCTGCAGTGTAGGGTTTCTCTTAGCAGATGCCACCAAGTGAGTTTCATTGAGTATTAACATTTAGAGTCAGTTCACATCTCTAAAAAGTGAATTTATTTAGAAAGTAATACGCTTACAGTATTAAATATGTTTAGGTGATCCACATTCTCCTCAAAATATCCTTATATTCCAGAATCAAGTGGCACTTGGTAATTTTCATGCCATCTACAACTTGAATTTATTTAAAGTAAAATTTGAAAGAAAATATCATAAATGACTAATTAATAAGAGAACATAATTATGAGATTAATATATAGGATAGTTAACTGGGTATTTTGATTCATGAGAGGGCCCTTTTGATCCGAAAATTAAATGTACTCAGGTAATTAGTTATTACTTTTCATATATCCCTAACAGGAACTAAATTGAGCTTGTTTGGCTCCTCCAAAAATGGATTTGGGTTCAAACAGAGTGACCTTGACATCTGTATGACAATTAATGGACTTGAAACTGCTGAGGTACAGTGACACATAAAATTCCATTTGCTGTGGCAGTGTGATTTGACGGCCTTGGCCGGCAGTGCAGCTTTGTGTTTCCCGAATCTAGCAGGACACAGTCTGTCTGGCCAAACGCAGTGAGGATTTTAGAGGTGGATGTGAGGAATTGAAAGGCTTGTAGTGTGAACCTGTAGTACAAAGTGGGTTGAAAGCGACATCTGGGAATTCTAGAAGGCCACAGCAGGCTCTCCAGAGTCCCATTGCCATGGCCACTAGGCTGATTAAGATGCAAAGACCCACATAAAGTTTTCTGAGAAGTTTGTTAGCAGGCAGGCAATGTGGTTTAATGATAGGAGTGCTAAAAATTATAGTCCAGAGACCTGGATTCAAGACAGACTTGGTTTCATCAGTCCCTACATGTGTGGTCTTTGGTTAATAATCTATGAAGTGCAAATGGTCATTCTGGTCCTCTTGCCTCGGGAGGTTGTTAGGCACATCAGTGTGAATCGTGTGTCAGGAGTCAGCAGACGGCGTGGTCCACAGGCTAAAGTCTGCCCACTGCCTGTTCTGTAAAAACAGTTTCATTACAACATAGCCACACCCCTTCATTTATGTATTGTCCATGGCCTCTTTGACTCCGTAACTGCAGAACTGAGTAATTGCAACAGGCTCTATGGTCTACCAAAGATTTGCCAGCTCTGCTGAATATGAAGGCATTTATGAAATAGAAAATACTGTCAAAGGCTTTAAAATCTGAGAAGTACTGAATCTCTACTCTTAAAATTTTTAATAGTCCAAGTGCTGTATAGCTACATGAGTGATGCTGCTGTTGCCCAAGATCTTTTTATGCCTTTTAGTTTCAAGTCTTTGTCTTCTGAGGATGTATTTGATTTGAGAAAATAGCCAAGTTGTCTAGCCTAACTTTGTTGAATAAGGGAGATAAGCAACATTGGGATCAATATATAGAATTACCTTAATGTGTGTTATCAAGATTGAATTTTTACATGATTTAGAAACTAGTTTTGAAGGCATTTCTAAAACAAAATTTCAAATATATTAAGTATGATCTATTTTGAATATTCATGTGTGCTGTATGACTTTCATGTTGTATGGTATATTTTTGGCTAGTCCTATGGAGAAATAATCTGAGCTTAATCACTCTTCACAGCAGTTCATCGGCTCTTGATGAAACTATAATGAATGTCTACCCAGAATGAATTAGGGCACAGAACCTCCTCTTGTTTATGCTGGCACATAGGGTACTCCATAGTTACATAATTACCTAGAAATGGAAGCCCTCACTGGTTCAGAGATTTTTCTGGGGGCTCTGATTTCAGCCTTTGTTGAGCCTCCAAAAGCAATTAGTAAGTAGGGTATATGAATTTCTTAGGATATTTCCTAGCTGATTAATAAAATATGTATAGAATGAGTTGAAATTAATTTCATTATTTCTAAAGGTAATAGGAACTATTTATAACCAGGTTAGAAACTTGCTTTCCATTTTTGGTTCAGTACATTATGCCATTTTTGTTGCAGGGGTTGGACTGTGTAAGAACTATTGAAGAATTGGCAAGAGTCCTCAAAAAACATTCAGGTATTTCTATAATCTTTTTCTAAAAGATTTTCTATATATATATATATATATATATATATATATATATATATATATATTTTTTTTATAAGCAAAAGTTTTTTTAGAAAGTCAAAGAGGTAGAAGTGAGCCAGTGGGGCTGTGTGGGCTCAGGAAACAAGTTTCCAACAGAAAAGAAGAATCCTTGGAGCTCAGAAGAGGGAGCAGCAAAGAGACATGCCTGAAGGAAGAAGGCGCAGGTGTCTCCAGAGAGAGAGCACATACCCTAAAATACTTCTGTCTTTTTTTTTTTTTAATGTTGAAGTGTACACTGTATTCTTTTTTTTTAAGATTTTATTTATTTATTTTTAGAGAGGGAAGGGAGGGAGATAGAGAGAGAGAAACATCAATATGCAGTTGCTGGGGGTTATGGCCTGCAACCCAGGCATGTACCCTGGCTGGGAATCGAACCTGTGACACTCTGGTTCGCAGCCCTCACTCAATCCACTGAGCTACACCAGCCAGGGTTAAATACTTCTGTCTTTTATTAGTGTTTTGCATCCTTAGAATTTAATAATGCAAAAAAAAAAACAGTATAGTAGCTTATTTATAGCATATTTGTGGTATTAGTATTGGTTTATTTTTAATAGTAGTAAGCATTAAATAACTTCTGAGGAGCAAGTATGAAATTATTGGATGGGGAGGTTCATGGGAAAGATTGGCTTGTTCTGATCTCGAATGATGATTAAGTGTGATTTGGAAAGAATAGGAAGAGAAGTCATTCCTCAGAGTGCATGGGTGTGAACATGAGAATTACTGTAGTGTGTTTTGGAGAGCAGTGAGATCGATACATTTAGAGAGGAGTTTCAAGTGGGAACTATTAGAAGACAAGGTAACGTCTATAGATATTAAGAAACCACTGAAGTTTTTTCAGGAGAGGAGAAACCTAATAAAAGCACAATTTAAACTTTTTAGGCGGTTAGCATAATCTCTTCTGGAGGGTATAATCTGAGTAACAGGGCAGGCAGACCTTTTCCAGGTCCCAGTGGTCCAAAAAGGAAGAGAATATGAGGGTTCTGGCTGATGTTTGGGAGCTTGAGAAATAGGAATGTTTGCAGAGAACACCAGTGTGGAGGTGTTTAGTTTGCCATGAAGTGTAATCTCCAAGATTATAATTTCTCCAGTCTAGTGAGAAATTAAAAATATGGAATATTTTTAATATCTTGGAGGTATCAATCAGGATTGAAAAACAAAGTAGAAATTGTTTGATATTAAAAATACCAATCAAAGCAGGATCAAAAACAAAGCAGAAATTCTGCACTGAAGACCTTAAAGAGAAAGAGAGACCAAGAATGAAAGAATCCAAGGAATTGTTTGAGGGAAGTTGAGAGCGGTGCTTTAATTTCTGTGTGTAGAAATTAAGGAAAGACACTGCAAAAGGAACCGTTGGAATGGTAACATAAGAACTGGGATGATGTGCTGTGAATGAATCTTAGAGGATGGGTTTATATTAAGTGTCATAATGGGTAACAGTGTCAGGTTCTAAATAGGAAGTAGATGGAGCAAAAGGCTAAGTTAGAGGCAGTATGGTAAAGTAGTTGGGGGTGCCTGGGATCAAACTTCCTGGTTTTACCTCTTGGCTTCCCCACTTGCTGGCTTTGTGATCCCAGAAAGTTACTCAGCCTCATTGTAAGCACTCAGTTACTTATCTACAGTCAAGACAACAATAATAGCATTTAAGATTAAGAAAGGAAATCCATTAAAGCACAGGGCCTAGTACACACTAAGTATTCAGTAAACACGAACTTCTTGGCCTTCCTCTCCATCAATATGTTAGGTTTCCTCTGTCTCCCACACAAACCTGTTTTGCTGAAATTTCTTTTATCTAATCCATCCTGTCCCTCTTCCGCCAAGTTCCAGATCAGAATGTATCTACCCTCTAAATACATTGGCTTCCCTGGAATCATCCGATGGGATGAAGTAATAATTAGCCTGTCCTGGGCTAGGTTTGGTAGAAGCCTAGCATCAGTCATGCCTAGATTTCAGTTCCAGCTCCACAGGGAACTGCACATTCCTAAGCAAGTCCATTTCTCTAGGTCTGTTTCCTCATCGGTAAGGTGCAGGTGCATAGTCATAGGAGGTTATGTTTATGAAGGATTCTAGGTACTCAGGAAATGGTAACTCTTACTGTTACAGCCTTCCTGCCTTATCACCCTCCCTCCACTTCCTCAACCCGTCTAGTTATAGATGCTCGCACACAGGTCTTGCTGCTTCTCCACATTTCCTTGCCACCATGATAGTTCAGGCCCAGATCATTTTTCACAATGGCCAGACTCCCTCCCAGGTGTCTCCAATCCATTCAGTGCCAGGGCCATTGTCTGAATAGATGTGGTCAATGATTCTCCCCAGTTTATACCAGTTCATTGGCTTCTCTTTGCCTCCCAGGATAATTAGTAGGATATATATGTTCACCCTTTGGCCTCCCCAGTTTCTACCCCTTCTCCTATTACTCATTATTTCTTTCCCTCAAGTCCACTCTGTAGCTTGACAATTCCGTCCAAGTTCCCTGAACATGCCATTTGGTTTCAGACATCTACCCTTCAAGTGTGCGGTTTTCCTTGGTAAATCCCCGAACCTCCTGCTTTTGCCCATTCTCCTTTTTGAAAACCTAGCTCAGGCAATTTCTTCCTCTCCTGTTGAAGTCGATTCCTTCCATTTACTATCATAATTTCTAGCTCTGTGACAAGTAACTTTTGCTTTAAGGGATCAGATGAGTGTCCCATAGGCTTTTCTTCATGTTAGATACGGTCCCACGAAGAAAATAGAGGGGGGCCACATAGTCCAGACTCTGACAGAGTCCTCCACTTTGGTGTTTATCAGACTGACAGCCCGACACACTCACATGGTCCAGTGAGTTCTTGCAGAGCAGTGGCTGCCTTCTCGTCCACATGTGGATGTGTTTACAAATGTCAGCTTTGCCAGAAGAGTCTCCCCACACGTTTGTTAGTAGCAGGGAATTCTTCAACTGGTCCTAGTGACACAGTGAAACAAGGCAGTTAGGGATACATCCATTTTATATTGAAGTGTTCCCATGACAGCCTCTGTGCCCAACTGTGTTTTAATGATGCTCTTTTTTCACCCGAGGTCTGAGAAACATCCTGCCTATTACAACAGCAAAGGTGCCAATTGTAAAGTTCTTTCACTTGAGAAGTGGTCTAGAAGTGGACATAAGTTTGTATAACACATTGGTAAGATTTCTTCTTGGCTTTTTTTGTAGGGAGATTAAGGGAAACAGATGTCTCTTAAGCCATTCATTTTGTGTTATTTATTCTTTCAGTAATTATTTGTGAGTGCTTACTGTGTGCCCAGCAGTGATCTGAGGCTGGGGATATAACAGAGAATTTAGTTAATACTAGTATTCATTTAAAGTGAGCTCAGAGGTCAGAGTGGCAGGTGCTTTTGTTTGACTTGAACTTTGTTTTAATTTGGGAATATGTGTGAGTATGTCTCACACCTGGTTTGCTTCAGGGCTCTGTGGGACCTCTCGGGCCCCTCAGGGCATTTGATTTAAATAATGCTAGGGCAGGCTGGGGAATGGTCCATGTACTTACAGGAAACTGATTCTTTTAATAGCCCTTCCTTTTTAGTAGTGTTGGGCTAAGGACATATTAACATGATGGAAATTATGAACTCAAACACCACTTACGATTCTTAATTATTATCTAGAAAGTCAATGAAGCTTATCTTTGGGGAAGAAATATTAGTTTTAGTTTGAATGTGTTTATTCTAAAATGAATTGTAGTGTAAACCTTTTCAGAATATTCTAGTTTAAAACATTTTCTTTTAAATGATAGCCTTATAGTATAATTTCCTTTTTAACAGGCTCTTCATAACACGAGGCTCTTAGCTGCTTATTCAGCCATTGATCCCAGAGTGAAATATTTGTGTTATACCATGAAAGTGTTTACAAAGGTGAGTAGGCTTCCTCTTGTGACTTACCAGGAAACTTTATTACATGTTCAGACCTTTATTGAAAGCATAAATGTATCTTTTTCTTAAAGAACCATAGCCAGGTCAAAAGCTTCTTTTAACTATTTGGGAAGCCCTACCCAGCAAGCTAACATTTTGTCTTAAATTCTACAGGATTATCTGATCTTCCTTGTGACTGTTCCACTGTTTTGTTGGGTTCTTTGTTTTGTTTTGGTTTTTCTTTGTTTTGTTTTGTCTTTTTTTTAATTGGTCTTTCTTGGTTTTGTTGGCATATTTTAGCATTTGAAAATGTAATTATATAAATTAGCGCCTTATAGAAGCACCTTACTCCTGTTGATAATAGAATAGCTGCAGTCAGAAAACATTGGTGATCTTTCCTTGACATTGCTCGCTTCCCTTTCCTCTAGATGTGCGACATCGGTGATGCCTCCAGAGGCAGCTTATCGTCATACGCGTACACACTTATGGTGCTATACTTCCTCCAGCAGAGGAACCCTCCAGTCATCCCTGTCCTGCAGGAGGTATGAGTAAAAGAAATTGCATTTCTTGTCTGTAAGGCTGGGTGGTCTTTGAGCCCTCTTCTCAACAGTTCTGCAGCTCTGTAGTTAAATTTTTAACAGTTTTTCTACAAGTTTTTTGTATCAGTGCATAAGTTTGTAATCCATACTAATAGTTTCAAAATTAATTGCAGATATACAAAGGTGAAAAGAAACCTGAAATATTTGTTGATGGCTGGAATATTTATTTTTTTGATCAAATAGACGAACTGGTACGTATTTGAATAGTAAAGTTTTTTTTTACGTTCTTTACTAAAAGTTCTATGCTATAGTGTAGATGTTCAACAACTATCACTTGTTATATTTGTTTCTATTAAGGTATTTTTTTAAAAATTAGTATATACAGATGTTTACATTGAAGTTGAAAACATTTTTATTAAGTCAGGTGAGTTTTTAGGAACTATTTCCAGGATTTCTTTAATATCTAATAATTCCAAATGGTTTGGTAACTTACAAATGAACAGTTATTAGCTCTGTGCTATTTTGTACAGAGAGTTTGGGAAGATTTTGAATTATCACCAAAGCTCTTAAAGTTTATTTCAAGGTTCTTCTATAGAATACATCCTGAGGTTGACATTTAAAACCCTGAGCTCTCCCTATGTCCAAGTCATAGGGTAGAGATTAATTCGTGTAAATGGTATCTTAAAATGTGAAAGAAAAGTTATATAATTATATATTCTGTATATTTAAAGTCTAGTTAATTAGAAACCTGTCCAAATTTACTTCATAAATTATAAGTGAATGTTAATATTAATACTTTAGAGCCTGATATCCCTTGTTTTCTTCTACTTCTAGCCCACCTGTTGGCCAGACTATGGAAAAAATACAGAATCTGTTGGGCAGCTCTGGTTGGGACTTCTTCGTTTCTACACAGAGGAATTTGATTTTAAAGAGCATGTTATTAGCATCAGAAGAAAATGTATGCTTACAACTTTTAAGAAACAGTGGACCTCAAAATACATTGTTATTGAAGGTAAAATCAAAACTTAAAACTGAACATAGAGTTGGAACTAGGTGGGCATTGTTCTTCCTCCCTCCAGAGCCCTTCCAGGGCAGCCCTGAGCCACTGGGGTGGGCACACGGCCTCCCCGTTACTGTTGCGTCGGGGGGAGGTGTCTGCTCCCCTCCTGAGGGTTTATTTTTAAGTCCGATGCCCTCGTGTGGGTCCTCGCACAAATCCAAGTCCTGGGTCACCGTGGCAGGTCTTTCACAGTCACTGAAAACTTACCGGAGGATAAGGAAGGCTGCCGTAGATAAGCCGGCTTCCAGACGGGTGGGGCCTTAGAAACCGTCCTGATAAGAGTGAGTTTTCAAGATCATTATTGGCTACAAATGGATGGTTTTTACCTGTTAGTGACTGTTTATAAATGTTGACATTTAGTTTGACGATGGTGATCCCTTTTCTTGCCATTGAATGCAGGGATTTACGGACCATTGATGTTTGTAATTTATTATTTTCAGTTCGTGAGGTTTTAATTGTAAAAAAGGCTACATTGAGTTTAAGTGCTTGTAATGAACTGAGAAATGACTCAAGAAATATTTTGAATTTAATCATACTTTTTTATTTTATTTTTTAATGTAGTCATACCACCTAAATAATGTGTTACGCCAGGTCAGCGTTTTCAACCTTTTTTCATCTCGTGGCCCACACAAAGTAATTACTCAGATTCTGTGGCACCCCAAAAATATTTTTTGCCAATCTGACCAAATAAATAGGTACAATTTTTATTCATTCACACTGGACGGTTATTGTGTTAGCTGTTGTCATTTTTTTATTTGACAATCTCAGGGAAAAGCGGTCAGTGACCCTGAGTACATGGTCGGGTATTACATGCTTTAAAAACTCCAACAGCACACCAGGTGCTTCCTGTGGCACACCGGTCAGAACGCGCTGCTCTGGGTTATACTTTCATCGTTGCTGCTGCCCGTTGATAGTTCTACGATATTGTAAAATGAAATTCAAATCACCATGGATTGTAGTTGCGGGTTTTTGGGTCTCATGTGTCCAAAACACAGAGCTTTGTTTTATCCCTTTGCGTTATCACAGTGGGTGTCCATGGTCTGTCAGTTGTTCATGTTTTGTTTTTAATTTTGGAAGCCTGGTTATCTTTAGCCATTAGTAATAGGCTAAACTAGAAAGAAGACTTGACTAGTTATTCTGGAGTAGAGAAATTTTAGTGGTGGTAGAACTGTTTGTAACTCTATAGGAGTTAAGGTAGTAATATGTCTACCATCCCAAGCAAACAACCAAAATTACACAAAAACTACTAGAAGAAAGCATGACCAAACCTGCTAGGAAGGAACCTTCCCGTAGCAATCATTAATGTAGGGCTAAGCTGAGAGAAGGGTCTTAGTGAGTGTAAGTCCCTGCCTGAGTGAGATACTCCGATTGTCGTACATTGGAAGCATAACAGACAACTGGAAGGGCGCCTCTTTTTGCTTCTGCACTCTTTTTGTATATACTGATATGTGAAATTTTCCCTTTTTTTAAATGAGATGATCCCCCAAAAAGATGTGAGGTTTTGGGGTTTTTTTTGTTTGTTTGTTGCTCTCTTGATTATGTTTTTAAGGATCTATAGGAAATAAATATCTACATGTAATGTTTTGATTACGAATTATCATGAGCGTAAACTTATTTTAAGTCATTTATAAAATAGTGTTTTGATTCAGAAAGAGTGCTTTACATCCATTTATATTATGAACCAGTTTATTCCGATCTCATGTACATCTTTGACATCAGCATCTTTTTCACCATTCCTACCACTTTTGGGGTCATCTAACAAATATGTTCCAGAACACAACATGTATCCACTCATCTAAGATGTTCGAGTGTAGATGCTTAAGATCATATGGGAATTCTTATATTAAGCCTTTACTGGAAATTGAGATGCAAGTAACCATTGCCTGTGTGTGTTCTAATTTATTTTATCCATGATGAATTCTTCTCTAAAGTGGTTTTTAAAAAACTTGTTAAGTCCTGACCAGTGTGGCTGTGTTGATTGGTTACCATTCAGCCAAGTGAAAGGTGGCCCATTCCATTCCCAGCCTGGGCACAGGCCTGGGTTGCCAGCTCAGTCCTGGTCGGGCACATGTGGGAGGCAACTGATTGATGTTCTTCTCCTCCTTCCTCCCTCCTTTCCTCTCTCTAAAAATAAATAAATAAAATCTTTTTTTTTTAAGTCGTGTTAATTAGCAGGAACAGTTAGTGCTAAAACATTTTAAATATATTTGTGATCTCTGTATGCATCCAAAACTAGCATCCAGTGATGTCAGGCTACTGTTAGTCTTCTCCTAAGAGTATTTTATTGTTCAAAACACAGCGTCTCCTCATAATGCAAAGGGTTTCATAAGGATTCAAATATAAAGCAGCACCCTCTTTTCTGATGGACACTTTTGAGAAAAAAACTGGGCTTATCTTTGGGAATATACACTACTTACCTATATAACAAGTTTGAAACTCATTAAAATAAGGCAGTCATGTAATACTTTTATTAATGATAAATTATGTAACACTTTCTTGTTATATAGGCCATTTACTGTATGAATAATGGCGTTTTCTATTTGATTATCTTATTATTTTTTTTAACTTAGATCCCTTTGATTTGAATCATAATCTTGGAGCTGGATTGTCAAGGAAAAGTAAGTTGAACTTTGTTTGTAAAGATTAATGTGATCTCCTTTTAATTCATCTAATTGGGTGCTTACTCTTTTTTTCTTAGTGACAAATTTTATAATGAAAGCATTTATTAATGGTAGAAGAGTATTTGGTATTCCAGTCAAAGGATTTCCAAAGGACTACCCCTCAAAAATGGTAAGCGTCTGTTGGAAATACCAAATAAAAGTTCTAAAAGCCCTAATTTGTACCATTACTTGAGTTATAACTTAAATACTCTGGAAGTCGTGAGTCTAGCCAAGCTAAACAATTATAACACCAAATTTCTAAAATCCTTTTTTAAAACATCCCTGTTTTAAGGCAATTCATCAGGACAGGCCTCTGCCAGTTTATACATTAAACTGTCCCAGTTTACACATTTCTTAGGACATCTTCCATTCTCATATGACGTCTAGATTTTTCCTTTTGTTTATTTATTACTCTACTTGCAAAGAGTAATAAGTAAATCCCTTAATGGGACAGTGCTGCCTGAGCTAGAGAACAGTCTGTGCTCATGTAACCTGATACTCAGATTTCTGACAAACCACACTCTCGTTAAAAACAAAATTGCATTATAAACATGGATTTCAGTGAGGGAAAAGGGGATTTAGGAGCTAGAGGGTTTTGTGTTTAGAATAGAGCTATTTTTTTTCTGCCTTAATTTTCTGAATAAAGACACTTTTAATGAACCCTGGTGTATAACCATATTCAGCACTTGATCACATCTGTACATATGGTTTTTGCTAGATGTTGCTGTGCAAGTCTGTCAGTGCCCCTGAAGCGTGTTCAAACCCATTACCTGCAGGGTTTGTTAAATGCAGGTTCTGACGGAGGACATCTAGGGTGGGGCCAGGACTTTGCATTGCTCACAGGCTCCCAGGTGATCCTGATTCTGCTGGCCCCCACCTCATCTTAGTGACAAAGAGGCTGGAGTCCAGACCATTGTCTTTCCTTTCTTTTGATATTTTCCTCTGGGAGCCCCAGCACAACAAAGCTGTAGCACATAGCTGTTTTCTTTTTCTCTGTAATCTGTGTAATGCAAATCCTATTCCTCAGTTCATTAGGCTTTAGCCTTTTCATTCTTTGAGAAAAATGAAGCCTTTGTATTTACCTCAGCTCCCCCCAGTTCCAGGGGCAGCTGACTCCTGGGGATGCGCGATGCTCTTATTTAGAAATGTGCTGGGAGAGAAAGCTACCTTTGTGGTTTAGGATACGACAGTTCTGCACAATGAAAAGGAATAAACAGAAATGGAGTTTAAGTGAAACTGTCCTGAATTAGACATCCTAATGGTTTTAGATTTTGAAATTAAACAGTATAAATAATAGTTATTAAAATAATGATATGTCGATCCTGAGATACAAGATTTCTGCTGGCTGTCAGGTTCATTTTTGTGTTTTGATCTCATATTAGTAACTCTTATCTGTATATATTTATGTTTTGCTAGGAGTACTTTTTTGATCCAGATGTGCTAACTGAAGGAGAGCTGGCCCCAAATGATAGATGTTGCCGAATTTGTGGGAAAATTGGGCACTTCATGAAAGACTGTCCTATGAGGAGAAGGTGGGTAAATGTTCATAAGCAGTGGTTTAGTTTCTCTGTTCTTAATGTACCAGTTTTTAAGTGAGGTTCTACTGCAACAGAAAACAAACTCATAGGAAATCTGGCAGTTTTCAGATGAATTTAAGATTTTTTACAATGAAAATAACATGTTGTAAAATACGGCTTTAAGCACAAATTAACAGAGGTATACAGGTGACAGTCTCCCAGGCATGGTCCCTTTTCCTAGCTGTGGTCATGGCCTGAATCATTATTCAGTCATTTGGTCGTCGACCTCTCTTGTCAGGATGGAAGACAAAAGAGAAAACTAAAATTCTTCCCTTTTACAGCAGTGAGAAGTTGAGAATCATTTCAGTCAATGAGAAGTAAAATGGGTTTCTTCAGGATGTCAACTGCACTTCTGAAGTACAATAATTGAGCCGTCCCACGTTGGGATTGGGGCTCACTGACAGTTTACAAGACTGTGGGACCCTTCACTTGTAGCCACCTGCCCAATTTGGTGACCATGCTTTCTCTTCCATGTGATGTTTGCAGGGGGCAGGGAGACATGGTTTGGGTTGCTTGCTTGGAACATACTACTTCCTGGTTGGGGTGGAGGTGGTGTTTTTAATTGCACAATAATACAGTCTTTTAAACACAGGTTGTCATCTGGCCCTGGCCAGATGGTTCGGTTGTTTGGAGCATCATCTTGTGAACCAAAAAGGTTGTGGGTTTGATTTCCAGTCCGGGCCCATACTTAGGTTGCAGTTTGATCCCCAGTTGGGGCGCATGTGGGGAGGCAGCCCATCAGTGTTTCTCTCTCAAATCAATATCTCTCTCTCTCTCTCCTTCTTCCTCTCTCTCTAAAATCAATAAAACATATCCTCAGATAAGGATTAAAAATAATTATAATAAATGAATAGGAAAATTGTTCCTCATTTTTAAAAAATGAGGCTGTTATTTAGTACATGTTTTTGTTTTTCACTCAAATAAGAGTCACTGATCATATTGGGCAAGGTAGTAATGATTTTAATACGTTAAGAACCTCAGTTTCCTTATGACCATCACTTCCCTGTGAACCTGTTTCCTTCTAGTTCCTTTTCTAAGCATGGACATGAATGTATTTAAAGATTCACATGTCCGATTTCCAGTGCCTAGTAAAGAATGCTAAGTGGGCTAGAAAGGATAAGGTAGGTTTCATTACATCAGCATCACAGTAGGTATTAAACCAAGGAGTTCCGCTAATTGCAAAAACTGGTTTTACAGCACTGGAATAATTGTGAAAATAAAAAGGAAAAAACACCCCTTAAGCCCTGTGGTTGCTTCCTAATAGAGAAGAGAGCTTTAAGTTTCTTAACCTCTTGTTTTGCCTCTGATACCTTCTATTTCTGGTTATTTCCTAAACCTGGAGTTGTCTTACTTTGTTAAGTTTCTGTTTACATTGCTCCTACCAGTATTATGTCGTCTTCTACAGAGTGAGGCGACGGCGAGATCAGGAAGATACCCCGAACCAAAGACACCCTGAGAACAAAGAGAAAAGAAGCAAAGAGGACAGAGAAATTCAAAACAAGCACCCAGAGAGGGAGGTGTCTGCGAAAGAGGAAAAGCCCATGCAGTGCACCCCTCAGAAGGCCAAGCCGGGCAAGGCCGCCATCGACCTGGGGAGAGAGAGGACACTCAGGCCACCCGTGGAAAAGTGGAAGAGGCAGGACGACAGAGACTCGAGAGAAAAACGTTGTTTTATCTGTGGACGAGAGGGGCACATTAAAAAAGAGTGCCCGCAGTTCAAAGGCTCCCCAGGTATGGCCACTGGTCACGCTTCGGTGTTTACAGTCCCGGCTCAAGGGAAACCTCTTTGTTAGAGCTCTTCACGGTTTCAGTTATATTTATTTCTTTAACAGAGCCAGTGGCTCAAAAACAATTTCACCTTTAAGAAACTAAAGTCCTCCCCACCCCAAATTCTGATATTTTATAAATCTTAAACACTTATTCCTAATTTTATTTAGAGGCTTATGAAAGTCATTTGGTTGACTTTTTAAATAAGATTATCAATGAAATGAAAAGTACTGAAAGTAGTCAACAGTGGTTCTAACTGCAGAGGAGAATTATGGAGGATTTTATCTTTGGGTTTTATCATTTAAACATTTTTCTGCGGTAAGCATGATTATTCTTACGATGAAGATAAGTGTATTATCAGTCAGTAGTTCAAAATCATAATCGTACCCCTTTAAGACACTGGATCTGAATTAACCAATTGTATTAAATGGGTCAAATGTCCATTGAGGGTACCTTTTTAACAGACTGTTAAGAGCATGGGTACCTTGTATAAGAAGTTATGATTTACAAGCAATTTATACATTCTCACTTTTTCAGAACAAACCTGTGAATATGGATGAAATGTGATTAGTTTAGAAAAGAAACTCTGAGACATAATTTTTTGATTAAAGTAGTACCACTATTTCTGTCCTCAGTTGTATGTTTGTGGACAGCATATAGAAAGATAGCCCTGCTGACGGTGTCCTTAGAACGTTCGCTCTAGTGTTTGTTGTTCCTGGAACACCAGCACCTCTTCCTGCATTTTATTGTATCAGCATGCAGGATCTCTTTCTATTTAAGGCAGGACATGTTAGACCTGTGCTTCCGCCCCCTCCCTCAAAAAGAAGCTTTATATGCAAAGAACTATGATTTTAAATTAATAATTTATTTTTAAATGGGACTTAAAGAATTCAGACAAATTCAAATTTAAGCTTTTGCCCTGATGTGGGCAGAATAAAAATTTTTTTGTGATTTTAAGAGGAAATATATTTAAGCAAAATTAAAATAATAGCAGTAGCTAACATTCATTAAGTGCTTAATATAGGTTGGGCACTATTGTAACTACTTTACATGGGTGATTTCATCTGATTTTCACCATCAGATTGGTGTTATTGATATCCCCAGTTTACAGATGAGGAAACTAAACAGTATAGATAAGAGGTAATGGAGTTTTACCAAAATTATTTCTGTAGGCTGCTCTTCTGGGGAACTCAAGGTCTGTGTTCCTAATAGCTTGAAGCACACTGTCGTTGGGTTCCTTCCCAGTACAGCAGCGTGGTGAAGGAATGCCCCTGTGGTCCCCAGCGTCAGTGGATTTCCTCCTCCTAGCTAGTAGCAAGTTTTAAGGCGCCTACTAGTGAAGCTCCCAAAATAGATGAGTGATTTTGGGGGGTTGGAGCAGCAGCAAATTACAGGGAGAGGGAAGAATGTCCTGGGGCAGTAGTGGGTATTATCCAACCAAAGGGAAAACACTAGAGTCTTGACTTCAGAATGCAGTATTTACACATTAAATCCGGTAGTCATCATATTGTAAAAATTAAATAAGGGAGGAGTGGGGCTGGAGTGTGGTGAATTTCCTCTAGTAGCAAAAATAATTAGCTGCTTCTTCCTGTCCAAAAATTATGCTGCTCCCTCTCATTTCTTCAAATACATTATTATTTTGTCCACACAATATACTGAATGGAGCTTCTGTTGTATCAACAGAAAATCTTTCTGTTTCGCATGAACCAAGAGGTCACCAGTTCAATTCCCAGTCAGGGCACAAGCCTGTGTTGTGGGTTTGGTCCTGATAAGGGTGCGTGCAGGAGGCAACACGATTGATAGTTCTCTCCCTCTCTCTCTTTCTTCCTCCCTTCCCTGTCTCTAAAAATCAAAATTAAATAAAAAATTTTTTTGAAAGATCAAACTTTAAAAAAAGAAAAGAAAGAAAATCTTTCTGTAAAAGTTTGAAAACAGGGTTACTGCTTTCAATTTAAAGTAGGACCAAAAAGTGCTGATTTCTTTCTTAGGTATGCTTAAATCAGATTGTGTATTTGGAGTCCCTTCTTCACCTAGCCCTTTGAAACCAGCTGACACATTTGTTCAGGTAAACATAGCTCAGACCTGAGCAAGAAGGCCTTCCGTCATCTGTCTGTTCAGCAAACACGTGCTGGGTGCTAGCAGCTCTGTGCCAGGTCCGTGAGGTGCTGGGCAGGCCCAGGCCCTGACTCCCTCCTTCTGGCTGACCCCCTGCTCCCTCACTCTGCCCTCAGCACAGTGTGGTGAGGGGGCTTGCTGTGCCCGGGATAGCAGGGTGTGCTTTAAGGATCCCTGTGTATGTGTCTTGCTTTCCAATTAGCTTGCAAAGTTCTGCCACCTACATGCCTATTTTCGGCTCTTCTTGGATATGGTTACGGTTTTAAAGCTGTTTTGGGTGCTATTCCTTTCGATTTTGTAAACCAGTGTATTTCGTTTTTTAGGCAGTGCTTTTACATGAAGACAAAAAGAAACAAAAAGCAACTATATTTTTGAGTCCCCAGTCAGGTATGTGGTTTAAAAAAAATGTGTGTTATTTTATTTACTGCATAGTTTACCACATGCCTTTTGAGACGCTTCTTCTGAATAGGTGGTTTTCATAGAGATTGCACATCAGAATCACTTGGGGAACTGTTGCTCTGCCGCCACTTCATTTCCTGATTCAGATTCTTCAAGGGTTAGGCTTGGGCACATGTGCTTTTTAAATGTTAGAGGTGATTCTCATACCATCCCTGAGTGGGAACCGCAGTCCTCACTTGTTGCTCCTCCATGCTTTTTGTTTCTGCTTTGAAATTGCCGCTGAGTTGTCAGCAGTGTAATCTCTTCATGGAGATTGTTCACTGCCCCAAAGTCAGGGAAGAAAGTGATTGTTGGTCTGAGCTCCCCTCTCTCTCCACAAATATCTGCGCCCTCCCACCCACCCTCTCTGTGCGGGCGTGCGCCTGAACGCAGCAGATGCGGCGCTGAACCGGCACAGTCCGACTCTCATTTACTTCACGTTCTCATCGGGAGAGAGACGTGAATGTTTCATGTGGTGACGGGTGCTTAGAAATATAAAACAGGAAAAAGGACAGAGAGAACGTTAGAGAGGGAGGCAGCCTCTCTGATGAAGTAACATTTAAATTTAAGGAAAAAATCAAATAAAGGAAGGGGCAAGTCAAGGGAAATGGGAGTTACACTGTTAGAGCAGAAGGAAGAACAGTTTCTGTCCCTCTGCGTCACTGAGTGGAAGGAGCAGGCAAGGGCGGTGGCAGGTGAGGTCAGCGTAGGTGGGTCTGGACCATGTAGCACCTGTTGACAACAAGTGAGGGCTCCTGCTGTCTTTTGAAGGTAGCACCATATCATTTTTGATGGGTTGGGAGACAAAGTATGACAGCAGATGTATCAGAGATGACACTGATATTTGGCCAGAACAACTAGAAGAATGGAGTTTGGATTTTCTACACTGGGGAACACTCAGGAAGAGCAGACTGCGGGGAGAATGAGCGTTTAGTTTTAGACATTGAAGTTTGAGAAACCTGCTGGATATCTGGGTAGAGATGCCAAGTAGCCATTGTGGTATACCAGGCTGGCCTTGAGAGCGAGGTCCAGGCTGGAGATGGAAATTTGAGTAGTGTCCGTGTCAATAGTGCCTAAAGGCCTGGGTCTCTGTGAGATCACCGAGAAAGTAAATTTGGATGGAAAAGAGGAAAGTGGTTAGAGACCCCGGTGGCAAATGAAGGAGACAGAGAACTAGGCAGTGAGGGAGCAGAAGCAGCAAGAGAGCTCTGTCCTGAGGTGCAAATGGAGAAAGCGCCTCAAAGAGAGGAGATGGACCGTTTGTTTGAATTGCTGCTCATAGACCTGCTGCAGACAGAATTAAGCATGGGCTTTGGCAATGCAGAAGTCACTGGTGACTTTGGAAGGAGCCATTTCTTTGGAGTGGATGGGAGAAAAACCTGGTGAGAGGAAGCTCTGGTGAGGAATGCTGGCAGAGGAATTGTAGGCAGTGTACCGTAACTTCAGCCATGGTGCAGAGGACCAGGTCCCTAGGTCTAAAGGCAGATACTAAAAGGGAGGGGAAGCCGGGAAGCTCTGAAGGCCTTTTCTGGTGGCTCAAAAGTGCTCTCGAGCACTGAAACTGAAGGGGGGGAATTGGGACTGAAAAGAAAAATTAAGTAACTTTAATGTGCTTTTTTCAGCTTTTTTGGTAAGAAGGGAGGAAACTAAACTTGATGCAAACGTTCTGAGTCTGGCCTGCAGACATCCTTAGTAACTTTGCTTAGAGGTGTCTCTCTGTCTTTCTTACCACCTCGCTTTCCTTTCCCTTCTCCCTCATCTCGTTCAAAAGCATAGGGTTAAAGGAGGGAAGTCATATCAGCAGGTGTAGTCTTTTGAACTTGATTGAATAATTTATGAGAAAAGTTAAGTTTTTGACATTTTAAAACTTCTGTGATGTAACCTGACATTTTTGTATGCAGTGTCAAACAGCCCACATCTTTTATGCTCAGCTTTTACATATCATAGTGTTGCTAATGTGCAAACAACTGTTTGCCTTTAGATTGGAGAGATGCCTGTGTTAGTGAGAAGTCGCAACAGTCTCTACCAGCATGTGTCAGAAATAGTACTCTCAGGTCCTCAGCAGCCTGCTCCGCCCTGCAGGAAAGAGAGCTCCTCCTGGCTTCCCCCAGCCCAGTGCCGGGCACAGCTACAGCCCCTGGGAGAGCTAAGGCTAAGGAATGTTTGCATGTCTCTACTTGGGCTGTTGTTAACAAGAGAAAAATAAATGGAATTATTAAGTTATTTAACTATTTCCACTTCTGTTATTGCCAGGGTCAGTTATCTCAAATAGATGAAATCATCTAAAAAGAGATAGGCATTTATTTTTATGATATGTGAACTTTACATTTGGTGGCTTTTTTTAATGATTGGAGAAAACATTTGAAATGGCATCAAATTTGTCTACAATCAAATTTTCAAAGGCGTGGGGATTGAGATTTGCATGCAGAATAAGGCCAGATAATTCAAAGAGAAACAAAAATCTTCAAAGAATTGCCGCCCTTACCCAAAAGAGGAATGGTGTGCATGAAAGGTAAAGATGCAGGAGGCTCAGTGAGAAAATTCAAAGGCAGCCGTTTGCTGGGAAGGCTTTATCATTGTTCTCAATAGAATGCATGGACTTAAAAACAAGAGCAGTGGTACTGGGGAAGTTCCCAAAACCAGACAGACAGAAGTGAAACAAGAACGGGCCTGTAGTGAGATTATTTGACTGACAAAGAGAGCAGCCAGGAAAGTTGGATAAGGAGGTTGACAGGCTGCTCCTGGAAGCAACTTTCCACAGATGAAAACCTAATGGGAAACAGACTCCAACGCAGCTTATGGGATTGTTTCCCAGAGGTCCTCTGAGAGTTGGAGGGCCACATGGTTAGCATATGTAAACAAGCCAAAAGAGTTGTTATTATAAGCTTCACCCTTGAACAGACATTTCCAGAACATATTATACACAAAAAATACTGATTCTTGCCTAATTTAGATGTTGTTTTGCAAAGAATAAAATGTTTAAGAATATCAGCTCTGTAGTCAGATTGCATGAAATAATTTCTAACTTCATAATCTTGAAACAGCTACTTAGCCTCCAGCTGCCTCAGTTTCCTCATCTGTTCTAAGGGGATGATAATAATGACAACAGTAATACCTGACTTGTAGGGATGTTGAGAAACCCATGTAAAAGCACTTACCTGCATAGAACAAGAACAGAGCAGAGGTGGGGGCAGGGGGGAGGCATTCATTGACGTTTCTGCAGGGATATGCCATCGTTGCTCCTGCTAAAGGTTTTGCACATCTTCAAAATGGAATTTTATTATAATTTTTTAACTGCTGGAGGAATACAGATGTTAGACCTAGAAGTGGCACTGACAGTAAGTTCAAATTTCTCCAATTATCTTTTGAGTAAGAAACTGACATTTGTACATCTTTTGAGCAACTGTAAAATTTAAATTACTACAGAAAAAAAATTACTGCAATACTAGGAAAAAACTTATATATGGTTAAAATCTATTGTTTCCAATAAATTAAAACTCTTCAAGTAAGTAAATGACAGCTGTGAAGACCGTCAAATTTATCCCCAATAAAGTTACCCAAATTATCTGTATTATACATGTGAAATATCCCCACTCTAAGTAGTAGTCGGTTTCCCCACAACTCTTCCTTCCAGCTGTACCCTGCTGTTCCACAGTCGCTGTATTGACCTTAGGCAAGAGGTCAGCGCCTCTGAGCTCCAGATGTCTCCTCTATGAAACTGCGGTAGTATCATCTTTCTCTCTAGGTGCTGAGAAGATGCATCCAGTTGGTAGTGAGCATTCAGCCAAGTTCCCTTTCCTCTCCTAATACCTGCCTCCATTCCTTTCCACTCAGTTGGAAGTACTTGTAGTTCTTAACTCCTAAACAAGTTAGTAGTTAATAGAAAATTTCATGAATTTGTTTGCTCTTCTCTCTTACTCCCCCCCCCCCCCCGCCACTCACACACGCATGGCTAACACAATGCGTTAGATGCCCAGTAAATCGTCTTGATTAGTGGTGTATTCATTTTGAAAGAACAATAAAGGCTAAATGTGGAATGGCTAAGAACATGAGCTTTTAAAGTCAGACATACTTGAGTTTGAAATCCAGCCCAAACATTTACTGGCTGCGTCACCTCAGCAAGTTTCAAACCTCTCTGTGCCTCAGTCTCCTTATCAATTAATTGGGACTAACACCTCACAGGGCACTAAGAAGTAATTTCGTATTTGTAAAGCCCGTAGCACAGCATCTGGCACATACCACTCAATAAATTCCCACTACACTTGCTGCTGTAGTCAACAGGAAGTCTCCAACTTTGCAGTAACTTATCTAACTTATAGGAAATATATAAAGGAATTTCTTAATAAATTGAGAATGTGGAGATGAAACAATCATGGTTATAAACTGATTTGATGCATAAGTTAATTACACTGGCTTAAATATAGCAACTTATTCAATATGAGAATCTCAAGAAACATTTTTTATCCTTAATCTTCTCCCATTTTTGTAAAGAAAATTACATTTCTGAAGAAACTACATGTCTCTTCATTCATTCCATTTTAATCCCCTGGTTTGAAACCTTAAAAATTAAAGATGCTATAAAGAGATTAATGAATATATTTTCTCCCTCATGATGATGTATACTTAAATGTTTTTTCTTGACCAGAATGTTAAAACTTACTTAAAAAAAGAAGCTGTTTATGATAGTAAACTTAAAATAATAGAGGTATATTTTTAAAAATAGTATGGGGGCACTTATTATCTGTGAATACAGAGCATCCTTTTTGTACCAGGTATTCTTGATATTTCAACATATGACTATATTATTATTTTATTTAATCATTCCTGATTAAGGAACTATTTTCAAATACATAATAGATCAATGTCTTCAAAATTTTTTGCTTATATACTCTTCCACAAAATATTGGAAGTGTGTATTTCTTTGTATATTTTTAAGCTAACATCTAGAT